CCCCCCCTCAGGGATGATCTGGTCAATAATGACAATTTTTTCGATAACTCAGCCATTTCGTGACGGATCCTTCTCATCTTCGAACTCGACCGAGACATTGTTAAGACTGAACTGTGTAGAAAGTTTCATCATGATCTGACTCTCCTTTCGAAAGTTATCGTGTATACGGCCGGACGGCCATACTGACCGATTCTAGAGTGTACTCACTTTTTGAGTACACAAAAAAGCTAGAAACTCACTTGAGTTGACTAAATCTTAGAATCTTACTGTCTTGAACTCTCAAAATCGGTAGCTAATTTTAATTAAACTGCAAAAGTAACAATTATTTAATTGTGTAGAAAACAAAAATTACAAATGTGCCGACTAGTAGATTCGAACCATACTTTCTAAATGTCTACTGTGAATACTCAAGTAATCTAAGGTCTTTGTATGTTTTTCGTTTGTGGATTTTAAAAATTTTTCGTTTTTCTTCAGTGGAATTTCAGCGTTTTATTTTTTTCGCTTACCTATTCTCAACAACTCACAAAACACGACCTATATTCAGCGAACGATAATCATTGTGTAATATGCCTGATAAGGTTGTTTTGATGTCCTTAACTAAGAATCTTACTTACCAGCTGGATTTGCTCTTCCTTCACAAACTCTAAAAATTAAAAAATTAATAAAAGATATTCAATACGTTTTTGTAACATACGCTTTTAGTTGATTTTCAAGTTCAGCACGAAGATATGGTTTCGATAAAGCATGACCCATTTTATCATAACCTTCACATAAACCAAGGCCTAATTTTTCTGGTTCAAATCTTCTATCAGAATTCATTTTTGTATAAAGTCGTTCTTGAATTTTTGCTATATGTTCTGCATGTGTTGCATCCGTACCTAAATTTATCGATCAATAACAAAAGGAATAATAATAATAATTTCGATTTTTATTAATTTACCTATTCCATGTTTTTCCATTAAAGCAATTAAATCAGCTTCAGTCAATAATTGTGGTGGTGATGTTTCACCTTGAATCATTTCAATTTTTGTTGGATAAAATGTTTGATTTAATTCATAATGTGGTAATTCCTATAAAATTATAAAAAAAAAAAACGAAATACAAATCTTTCTCAAATTTTTTTTGACTTACTTTTTCTGACCATTTATCATAAATATAAACATCAAGATAATTTCTTTCACGAATAATTAAACCAGATGCATGAAACTAAATATTAAATATAATATATTAATAAAAAAAATAAATAAACATACATTTTCATTTGCAATATTTATTTTAATTGTTGTTTCATCACCTTGAGCATCTTTTGAAACACAAGCAAGAAAATGTCGAACAATTAATTCATATAATTTATTTTCTTCATCCTTAATTTAATAAAAGTATTTAGTTTAATTATTCTCAAAAAACCTTTTCAAATAAAAATTCGAAAAACACGGAGTGACACACTACTCAACGTTTACCAACTATGATTGGTTCACTGTTAAAAGAAAAATCTTACTGTTAATTGTCCATCAGGATAACGTATTGGATGAATAGGAGGATGAGCTTTATCAGTATTTTTTCCATTACGTGGTCGAGGTCCATCATTAAGTACACGTTGAGCAAATATTCCCCAACGTTGATCACTAATTTGATTTTGAACAAGTGGATTAAGATTAATTTCCGATGGAAATATATTTGTTTCTGTACGTGGATAACTAATTAAACCTTTCATATATAATTTTTCTGCAATATCCATTGTTTTTTTACCAGTCATACGTAATTTTCTACTTGCAAGTTTTTCCATTTCCTAATGAAAAAAACCAAAAAAAAAAAAAAAATAATTTAATTTAAAATTTCTTTTTTTTTTTTTTATTTTCAGAACATTGACATACAACAGTATCAAGTGCAGTAGGTCTCCATTTTGATTTATTTTTTGATTTAATATCCATTACTCTTGCTAATGGTTCATCCATAATCATATCATAAATCATTAAACATGGTTGATGTTCAAATAATCGATTACGTTCCCATGTAAATTCACAAAATTCACCATTATCAGTTTGATGTTCAACAGTTATTTTCCAAAATGGTTCACGTATAAAATTTTCTCGTTGAAGATAACGTTCAACAATAAAACCTAATGTAGGAAATTGACATGAACCATAACTAATTATTTGTTTTGAATCAAAACCAAATAAACGATGTAAACGTAATGTTTGAAAACGTGTAAATGCTGCACCTATACGTAAATCAAGTTCTTGACGAACATCAACAGCAGCACTAACACGTTCATCAGGTTGTGTTAAATTAGATAAAGCACGTACTGCACTATCATATGTTATTTCGGAAAAACGAGCTCGATAAATTTTTAAACCTGTTTTTAATGGTCGACATAAATTAATTATTTCATATCCAATATTTTCTCCTTCACGATCACAATCAGTCCAAATAATTAATGTTTGACATTTGACTACCTCACGTTTTATTGTTTTCTATAATTAAATTAATAAATTGATATTTTAATAAAATTCAAAAACAAAAAAAGAAATTTAATTATACTTCAATATCTGTTGCACGATCAGTTACTTTCTTTTGAACTGGAGCATCAAATAAAACTACAGGATCAACTTGTGCCCTAAAGTTTCGAAATTCAATTTAACTATTTTATGATGACTTTGAGTTCATTGTGAGCAGGGTTGCCAACTCCAAAGGTGTCGAATGGGGTACTTGTGGGGTACAATTTTTTTTCAAATGGGGTACACTGATGGAGCACATCATTTTTTCTAAAATTCAAGGGTCTGACGTGAAAAAGCGGCTGGAATCAATGGTCTTTTTAGCAAATGAGAGGCCAAATTTAACTTTCCCTGTGCGAAACATGTTTCAATGAGGTTGTTGTATTTTCGAATCCGTGCTCAGCTGCTGCTTTGCTTTCTTCTACGATCGTGATGTCTGAGTGGATCAGGTCGTCATTGTTCATTTAGTCAAAATTACAGTCAACAATGATTTTTTTTAGCCTTTCGAAGATAAATCAAGACGAATAAACAGGGCTGTTCTAAAACAAGAGAAAAAGCTCAAAACTCAAAGGAGGAAACTAGANAGCCCGGACCGAGAAATCTTGGACAGAAAATGAGCTATTTTTGACCCTTGTTTGGTTCATATCTCTGTCAAACATCAGGGTATTGAGCTGAAAATTTTACCGCAGCCCCCCCACTCCAGCCCCAACATATGCTCCAAATTTCAGCCCATTTGAACGTACCTGGGCTGAGATCGATTTTTGAGGGGGGGGGGGAGGCCTTAATAAAACTCCACTCACAATTTTTACTCATAATCAGAACTTATAAACCTTTCTTTCTAAAAATATCATTATTTTACTAGACTTAAAATAAATAGCAAAGAAATGAATTACAAAAATATGATCTGAAATTTTACTTCCCTATACGTAGATCTTATGATTCTAATACTAGCCATTGTAAAGGATAAATCATAGTGAATGGTCATCTTTTTATCATCCAATACGTTTTACATGAGCAAAAGCTCATTTTATATATGAACTTTTTGTTATATAAAAGAGAAAAAATCTATTCGGTCTACAATCATATTCAAATTGTCGAATAGAATTTTTATCTAGTTTATAAAACAAAAAATGCATATATATATAAAATAAAATTTTCGTATTATAGTCAACAAGTTAAATGTTAGAATAAAATTTTTACCAATTATTCGAGCTAATGGTTTACAACCCAGTTCATCAGCAGCTTGACGTGTCATTAATAAACAAGCAGCTGCACCATCATTAATTTTCGATGCATTTGCTGCTGTTATTGTTCCATCTTTTAGAAAGGCAGTTCTTAACTATTAAGAAAAAACATATTTCAATTCTCATCAAAATAACATTCATAACTTACTGTTTTCATTTTTTCGAAATCAACTTTTCTATATTCTTCATCTTCCTTTACAATCACTTCACCTTTTTTTGTTGTAACAGTTATTGGAACAATTTCAGCTTTATATTTTCCTTCTTTCCATGCTCTAGCTGTTCGTTCATAAGATAGTTTAGCAAAAGTATCTTGATCTACACGACTAAGATTTTCTTTTTTTGCAGTTTTTTCTGCACATAAACCCTAAAATTTCTTTCAAATATAAACAGAAAAATTATTTATTATAATTTACCATTGGAATTCGATCATAAGCATCAGTTAAACCATCTTTAGCAATACCATCTTCTAATTGAAGAGTTCCATAAGGTGTATCACCTGAAGAAAAAACAAACAAACTTCAATTTAATAACAACAACAAGGAAATATTCATTTAAACCTCGTGGAAAATAGTAAGGTGCATTTGACATGCTTTCCATACCACCAGCGATCATAATATCTTGATGACCACACATAAGACTTTGTGAAGCTATCATAATAGCTTTCATACCACTTGCACATACTTTATTTACTGTTGTACAAAGTGTTTCTTGTGGTAAACCTGCATAGAGTGCTGCTTGTCGTGCTGGTGCTTGACCAACACCAGCTTGAACAACATTACCCATATAAACTTCTTGTACACGATTGGCAGGTATTTCTATGAGATATTAAATTAGACAAAAAAAATAATAAATTCATTTTTGTCTTACTTGCACGTTCTAAACATGCTTTTATAGCAGCAGCACCAAGTTTAGGTGCCGATACAGAAGCAAGACTTCCACGAAATGAACCAATTGGTGTTCGAGCAGCACTGACTATAACTACTTCCTACATTTAAAGAAATAATTAAACTTTATTAGAAATAAAATATAAATGTTTACATTGAGATTCGGATTGGTTGATGCTGATCGATATTGATAAGCAATCGATGAAATCTTATTTAAGAATACATAAATATGTATAATGAAAACTAGATTAAAATAAAATAAAAATTACGGGAGCACATGTAGATACACAATTTGAACCAAACAATCGTGAAACTGCCGAAAAACTAAGTCGTGAAACCATCTAAAAGAAAAAATATATCATTCAAGTTATTAGGACGCCATTAAATTTCATTTGGATTGAATGAGGATAATAATATTCCAAACGTTCCAAATATGTTATTTGAAGGCTTATTGGTGATTCGAGGAGACAAATAATAAGTATATGTAGTATAGCTGGCGTCATCTATATCATAGAATTTATTCAAATATAAAAATCGATTATTACTTAAAATACAAACAATACATAAGAGAGTAGAATTAGTCAACGGACAGAGCAGAAAAAGAGCACATGTTAAGCAAATCAATATCAAATGCACTACCTATGGCGCCCTCTAAAATAGATGGAATGGGCCGAACTTTTAAAGTAACCTAATCGATAGAGAAAAATACGCTGAATCGAACCGTGATTTTATTTTTCCAAAAACAAATAGCACACACCTGGAAATAGCCGAAAAAGCGTAGCTCATCAGCTATAGAACATTCTGATTGGTTGATTCNAAGAACAGCCGATTTCACCTCTGGAGAATAATTCCAAGTATTTCAGGGTATCTAAAAAAATTGCAAAAAACTTCTTTAAACTTTTTTTCTCGAACACATGTCTTCTTATCATACGTGCTCTATCTATGGTAAGGATTTCATGTAAATCGGTTATACCCTCATCGAGAGTCACAAGTGTTTAAAAAGAATGGATGCCATTTATAAGAGATGTTTGGTCATAATCCAATATGCTCTTGTTTAGGGCTAATGAATAATCTTGTGCAATAGAATGAATACTTGATTCGGACTTATTTTCACCAGTTTCCTTAACTTCATGCAATTTTTGTTGAGTAATTGCGACAGATCTTCCAGAATGTGGTCGAGTTTTGACAATTGCAGTTTTATGAAACCGCTAGGATGTAGTTCTAATACAGAATTGAGTTGGCATGTTTTTACCGATTTCGACTTGCAGCTTTTGTTTGACAATGGTAGCTGACTTGAGTTTGGTCATTAGTAAAACTATTTTAATTCTGACTTGTGTAGATACAAGCATTTTATTTCAAAAAACTTTAATAAATATGTGATCAAACTGTAAACGAACATTTAAATCCTTTGAATTACTCAGGAGCTATTGACATGATTTTTTTGGTTCGGACGTTTAGGCACCTTATAGATTCAAAATGTCTCTAGGCCTTTTGTTTTATGAGTTATTAGTTATTAGTTAAACTTTTAGAGGCATGGTCTAATTACTTTTCGATCACGCATTATCTCCGAAGACATTACTATTAAAAATTTAACGTTTCATCCGTTTGAATGCGAAATCGCATTTTTTTACAATGTTTTTCCTACTAATGCAGATGTTTGTATTGTTAGTTCAAAAGACTAGTCATATTCGAGTAAAATTAAAGTTTTCACTGAGAAACCACTAAATTTAAAATATAGACTGTTATTGGCTTGCACCAGTCGAGATATTCGAATTTTAAGACGTTTACGGTATATGTAATCTGCTCGCAGTTTACAACTTCAATACAGTTATTTCTTCATTTTTCGTGATGGTAGGAAAGCGCTCATCGAATTGCATAAGAAAAAGTATGTTTCAGATTAAAAAAAACATTCAAGATATCATTTTTGTATTCTTAGACTATATGAATATTGTCCTTGAGAAATTTTTAATGATTTCACGTCTACTATCGACCTATGTTACGATATATTAGCCAAAGTTCAGCCTTTGTGAATCTATCTGGCAATAAAGACCTGATAATTCGTTGTAGCTCACTGATATTCAAATATTGGAGTACAACGAAGTATTTGTGCTTTATTGTCAGGTAGATTTACATAAGCTGGACTTCGGATAATATATCGTAACACAGCTCCATAATAGCCCTGAAATAATTAAGAATTCTTCAAGGACAATGCTGAGATAGTCTCAGAATACAATGAAGTACGCTGAACTACAGAATTTTCACTTGTTACTCGTTGGAAACAAATAAATCCCAAGTTCTGACTTGTACAAAAAAACCTATTTTTTAATGTGAAACATACTTTTTCTTATGCAACTTGATGAGCTCTTTCCAACCATCACGAAAAAGAAAGAAATAACTGTATTGAAGTTGTGAACTACGAGCCGATTACATATACCGTAAACGCCTTAAAATTCAAATATCTCAACCTTTACACGCCAATAACAATCTATATTATAAATTTAGTAGTTTCTCGGCGAAAACTTTAATTTCACTCGGATATATCTAGTCTTTTTAACTAACAATACAAATATCTGCATTATAAGAAGTAAATAGTTGTAAAGTATGATCAGTTTTGAGCGAAATGAAATTCTGTCAATGTTAGGACTTCTAATCTAGCATAGTAAATATATGGCATAATGAATTAATAATTTGAATAGAAAAATGATGAAACAAGGCGAACGACTAGATGCACAATTAATTTTGAGTGATATTATATTTACAGGCGTATAAGATATTAGATTTTTTTTAGGTTAAATGTGCAACATGGGCACTTGATCATAATGTTGGTGTTGTAATAAGTAATGGTCAAATAGATAAAGGAATATTAAATATTATTGATGGAAAAAAGGTTGGAACATTTTTTACAAATACACCAACACAAACATTACCAGTTGATGTTCAAGCTCTTAAAGGTATTTTATTTTTATTGAATAGAAAATATTTAAATAAATTTAAAAGTCTATAGCTCGTGATGGTAGTCGACTTTTACAAAAATTAACAACAGAACAACGAAAAATAATTATTAATAAAATGGCATCAAATTTAGTTGAATATTCAAAAGATATTCTTCAAGCAAATAAACATGATTTAGAAGAAGCAACGAAAGAAGGTATTTATCTTTTAATAACAAAACAAGCAAACAAAGAATGCTAATCTTTGTTTTCAATTTTGCTTTAGTCTCAGATTCATTTTTCGATACATATATATGTATTTATTTAATATTTTGCTTTAGGTCTTAAAACATCATTACTTGGTCGACTTGGTCTATCAGAAAAAAAATTAAAAACTTTATCGATTGGTCTTCAACAAATAGCTGAAAAAACTAATGTGCTTGGTTCGTTTAAATTCATTAAAATCATTTATTTATTTTGTGAAACACGATCTACAAGAATTGTTGAGGCATAATTTGATAGAACTTTAGACTTCTTTTCTTAGCAGACATCTTTTCAAACATCTGTCACAGATCATAATAGAGACTTTAAAATTGCTGCTACATTCTCATGGAACATGACAGATATATTGTCGAGTAGAGTTATGCAATAGCAAGGTTTTAATTCTGGTCATGGCTAGAGCAAATTATTTCGAAATTGATCCATACTAGATCGAAAACATGTCTTCATTTCTCATTTTCTGATCTCTTTATTCGATGACTAGCACTTTTTTGCTACATCTCTATTGAACTATGTTCTGATTGATATGATTTATAGTATAGTTTGTTTAAAACCATAGAATATTTAATTGTAAACTTTTTCTTTCTATTACGTTTTTCTTGTAATCTTCATCCCTGTCTCAGCAACTTCTCTTTCCTATGGTTGTGGTCCTGGTCGAGATGATTAAGATCGGGACTAAAATTTCATTGTTCGTATGAAATACAGTTGAATTTAAGATAAGTTTCATTTACCCTTCTTGCATACTAACTGGTATATATTGCGATTATCATCTTCCATCATCGGCATTAAACAACTGTGGATCCACGTTTTTTGTGCAATCGGACCCCGCAAATAGAAATTCTTTGAGCTCGACCCTTACCCAGTCAGGTCCAAGTCTAAAACGATTTGTGGCATATTAATCGACATATGATAGCAGCAAGTAGTAACTCATCAACTGAAATATATGCATTAGGAAAATTTCTCACTATCAGCAGTTCGATCGTGTTTCACATTATTATCCCACAGAGATTGTCCTAACAGCTTTTGTTATATATTCTAGGACAAATTGTTCGACAAACACGTTTAGCTGATGGACTCATGTTAAAACAAATAACAGCCCCAATTGGTGTTCTTCTTGTTATATTTGAATCTCGACCAGATAGTTTACCACAAATTGCTGCTTTATCTATTTGTTCAGGAAATGGTCTTTTATTAAAAGGTGGTTCAGAAGCGAAATATTCAAATGAAATATTAACAAAATTAATGCAAGATGCACTTGAGCCATTTGTTCCTCGTGATACAATTGCTTTGGTAATTAAGGATTTCTTGTTTTTCTTTTTCTTTTTTTTTTTTGACAATGAAGAATTAAAATGAAATTTTTCTTTTAGATTAGTACACGTGAACAAGTAGCTGATCTTCTTCAATTAGGAAAATACATTGATCTTGTTATCCCACGTGGTTCAAATGAACTTGTTCGTACCGTACAAAAACAAAGTGTACAAATACCTGTATTAGGCCATGCTGAAGGTATTTGTCATGTATTTATTGATAAAGATGCAGATTTAGATATGGCTTTACGTATTGGTAACATATGAAGTTTATATTAAATTTTTTAAAATATTTAATTGATATATTTAGTACGAGATTCAAAATGTGATTATCCAAGTGCATGTAATGCTATGGAAACATTACTTGTACATAAAGATCTTATTCGAACATCATTTTTTGAATCACTCATTGATTTATTTCGTGCTGAAAAGGTTAATTGAATGAATTAGTAATTCGTCAACGAACTGGAGAATTCTTTTTTTGTTTTATTGTTTATAGGTCAAAGTTTATTCAGGTCCACGTCTTTCTACATTACTTGCATTTCCACCACCACCAGCAAATTCATTACGTATCGAATACGGAGATTTACAATGTTGTATTGAAGTTGTAGATGATGTTAATGATGCAATTGAACATATTAATAAATTCAGTTCAAATCATACAGATTCAATCGTAACAGAAAATAGTAATTATTTCATTATGTAGTTAACAAAAAGAAAAATCTAAGAATTTTTATTTTAGAATATACTGCCAATGAATTCATAACTAATATTGATAGTGCATGTGTTTTTCATAATGTTAGTACACGATTTTCTGATGGTTATCGATTTGGTTTAGGTAAGAAAAGAAAAATATTTGAGAATGTTTTAAATGAAAATGTTTAATTTCAAAATAGGTGCTGAAGTTGGTATTAGTACAGGTCGTATTCATGCTCGAGGTCCTGTTGGTGTTGAAGGTTTATTAACAACAAAATGGATTGTTCAAGGTAATGGTGATGTTGCAGCTGATTTTACTGAAGGAAGAAGAAGATTTATTCATGAATCAATCAATCCACGACAATCAAATGTCTCATAAAAACATTGATTTTTTCGTTCATTTTTTTGTATCTAGTTTGAGCTAAGAGTAGTGTTCCATTGAAATTTTGTTTTTGTGAAAAAAAATTAGATTAATAAAACTATTAGATTATGTCTGATTTGAAAATTTTTTATAACAAATTGTTTTATATCAAGAAAAATCGTAAACGACACGTATACAAGTGTAGACAAAAAAAATTGTAACATGATACATTTATTAGAGAAAGTATTCTACTTTTTTGTTTATGCAACGACTGACCAAAAAAGAATGGTTAGTTTTTGTATTTTTTCTTTATATCATTTTGTATGTTTTATTTAAAGTTTTGTTTTTATGTACACCCTTTGTTTTCTAGAGGGGCAGATGATTGTACTACACATTTTACATGCTGTGAGCATGATCATTTTTTTTTGGTACACAAAGAATTCTTTTTTTTATTTCATCATTTAAAGAATCATCATTTTAAACTTTATTCCATGGCCTATTATTGGATTTAATGTGCTATAAGTATTAATTCACAAAAATTGAGATCAAGACTGTCGTGGCCCCTGCTAGGTTATATAATTTGTCGTCCAGATCCGTAACTTTTCCACAGGTTCACTCACTGGAAAAACGCCGTTGCCTACCTTAAAACTCGGGAAAGTCGCACAAACTTTCAAACAGAAATCCACTGGCTTCATATTTCACGTTCCAGCTGTAATCAGGCAGACTAGGACATCGTATTTCTACTTCCAACTTTCTTGAATTGTCTCGAATTTTTGACCCGAAACAGCCCGTGTTTCTTGACCTCGGCATCCATGATTATTTATAAGATGCATTTAATTCTCTTCATACCATGTCAATGGTTTTTTTATGTTTATGTGCCATTGTCTTGTCTCGTAGACCAATCAGCTGGTTTCTGGGAACTGTTGACGTACAGATAGCATATATCGAAGAATGGGTCGCTCTCAAAAGAGAATAGAATAAATCGAAAACCAGTATATATACACTTTCAAAATTTTCACATAACATTTACTTTTTACCCTTTAATAGCAATATACTGCGTCGTTGATTTCTTTGTGTAATCTATTGAAATTATTATTCTATGTATTATAATTTAATATCAAGCGTTATTTCAAGATATTCAGCTTATTTAAATTACTCTCTGTTTCCATCTGTAAGAGTGCAGGTGCAAAGTAGATCCATTTCCTCACATGCACACTTTCTCTCTCTCTTGCTCTGTGACAAAGTAAAATATATAATTATTTATGTTCAATAAAAGCTTTCAATATTGAAAACAATAAAAGCAAAAGAAAATTTTCTTCAGGAGCTTTGCTTTTTTTTTATCCATAATTATTATTGATAAACAGAACAGAATAATCAGACTTTTTTGACAATCATAAAAAATAAAATAAAAGTTGATGTTATTGAAGATATTAATCTTCTTTTCTCTACTCAACACTCTTCTTATCTAATTTAACCCAACTTATTCACAGTTGTTGAAGTAAGTATTGTGTTACTCGACTAACCATCTGTCGATACAAAAATAAGATTATTTCAGTTTTGACATGACACGTTCAATATCTTTTTCAATTTCAACCATGTTTGAACGTTGGGGCGGTGATGACTCACGATAGATAATGGCTGCTTTGTTATAATATTCTAGCGCTTCTTTCAAATTATTCACCGACTCATATATCAGACCAATTTTTTTATTGCTCAAAGCAATATCTTGATGTTGAGGAGGTAATGATTTCATTCTAATATCGAGCGATTTTCTGTAATGGTGCATGGCAAGTTGATAGTCGCCCATGCTATGACGAACATCACCTATGCCAATATGATTTATAGCCATATCTGGGTGATTAGCATGTAAGTGTTGTTCTTGAATACTCAATGAGCGTTCATAATAGGTCAATGCATCTGAGTATTCCTTCCGAGCACTGTAAATACGGGCGACACCATGATACCAAGAAGCCATATCAGGATGATTTGTAGCATTCGCGCGCTTGTAGCAGTCCATTGCTTTATTGTAGCATTCCATTGCTTCATTAAAATCATGTTTTTCTGTATGAATATTTGCAATACAAGAATGCAGACCCCCAATGTAAACCAAATCATTTGGATTCGTACGAATTTTCTTGCTCAATGCTTTTTGAAACCATTGAAGGCTGCGATCAAAATCCTTTCGTTCTTTATTCAGCATACCAAATGAGAAACATAACTGAGAATATGAACTATCGTTGTTAGAATACTTTTTGCGTAGGCCGTAATATATTTTCTCTGCCGAATCATATTTTCCCATATGCTGTAGTACATCACCAAATGACTTAAGATCAACTTCTTCTTCACCACCTCCATATTCAGCTTTCAATTGATTGAAAAGCGTCTTCAAATTATTGTCATCATCTTCCGCTAACAGCATTTGAATTATCCAGATTTGTTCATTATCATCCCAATAAATACTAGTTAAACGAAAGATACATCCAATCATAAATAATATTTCAGATTCCTGACTAAAGTAACTAAGTGAACTAATATCGGCGAATGGTTTTGATTTTGCAATGCGAGGATCAGCTTTAATGTCAAATAATATTCGATGCAAATCATTCGAAATCATCGAATGATTAGAAAATTTTAATGCTACGTCACGATCAGCAGTAGTCGAAAAAAATGAATTAATCGAGATGAATTGACCGATCGATTGTTTAATAGTATTCAATTCATCAGCATACATAGTTTGATAGCGATACACCCGAACAGGATTTTGGCATTGATGTTTTTTTAGTTCTTGATAAATATCATGAATTACAAAACGAAGTAATAATAATAATTCAGTGTTCTGTACTCGCAAAGCTTTATTTAACATGCTGTATAAAAAAGCATCACGCGTATACCACCATATAACTTTTCTAGATTTATAGTCACATTCAAATTCACGAACCACCGCTAGTTGAGGTTCGTTGCCAGAATATTTATCTTTGCAAACTTGAATGAGTTTGTTTTTGTCAGCTTCATCAGATTTCATTCGAATAAGAACATCGATTAATAATAGAGAATGAATAAAATGACCATTAAGTTCAGTTGTGGATTTATCTGCATTACCACTGACATTGTAAATATTCATAGACATCGGTTCGTCTACTTTTAATCGCTGTTTGTGATCGAGTGTTATCTGATTGATGAGATCATCAAGCTGAATGATCACACCTTTTATCTTCAAACAAGTAAATGAAGAAAATTAAAAAGTCGGAAAAAAAAGAAGAACTTCATACTTTAGTGAACTGTTTAGCCCACTTTTTATATGCTTGTTTATTCCAACAATAGATATAAACAGCTGATAGCTGTCGAAGATGATGAATGTGAGGAAGTAATTCTTTGCTTAATCTACCACTAACAATAACAACAAGTCGATCGTGTTCAGAACAAGCCACAATATATTGTTCACATTCGTTCAGATCATGAAATATTATGAGATGATTGATGATTGAACGAAGTCGCTTTTGAGCATGCCTGTTCTCTTCTGAAGCATTGACTTCTGCATCAAGCCAAAGAAGAGAAAATATTTCCAAATTATCACTGTTTGTTTGAACGATTGTATTCTTTACAGCACTCATGTCTATATAAATGGTGATATTCGAATCAAATATTTTGGTATAAATATGTTGTCCTTATCGTTTTATTACTTAATGTGATATAATGTATTTGTCCACATGTACATTTCACTCTCTTTTTACTTGTTTTTTTCATCGTTTTTATCGTGTAGGTGATCATTTTCGTTTCTTTGTGGAAAATTATTGATGTGTGAATTGTGCAGATAAACAAACACATGTTTTTAACGGCCAATAGAATGCTAGTTTGTCAATTATCACTTGTCATTTATCTATATATTTTGACTATACGACTAGTTGAATGTAAGAAATGCAACGCTCTTGTAATTTGAATATATGTATTGAAACTGAATAAAAATATTTTTGTTATTTTGCAGTATTTCATCAAATCAAGTAACATGACTATATTTTTTTCATATTTATTGAAATAAATATTTAAAAGAATTAAAGTTTCTTTATCTTTGGAAATAAATTAATTTGTTTTTTTTAATCAAAAATCGACTGATAAATATGATTGTTTTCTGTCAAAAGTCTAAAAAGAAAGCTTTTGTTTATCGAAGACTAAAATTAATAGTTGAATANCATGTAAAAATATCTAAGAAAAACATTTTACTCCATTTTTGAATTACTAGCACCTTCCTTTTCCACCCCCAAAAATGTATAAAATTTCTGAAAGTTTCTTAAGTTCGATATTAAAAGGTTTACATAACCCTTACTATTTAGCATCAATAAATCCCATTTTTCACGGGCTTTCATTTGGTATAAAATTCATCATATCACCTATTTGAAATTATAGCGTTACCTCCTGGAATAATATTTTTTCCAACCGTGTGAATATAGATTAGTTTGTTCCGTAGAATTCAGATATCTTGTTATAGAGAGTTATCTCTAATATATTTAAAGAATAATTTTTGTAGTGAAATTTATAAACATTGGGTTAATATCAATCAGAGAAGTCTATGATATCCGCAGTAAATCAAAAGCATTAAGTCTCAATATTCATCCGAATCAGTTGTTTTTGATTTTACTTGTCATATGAATAGTTTTGAAAAAAAAAGGTCAATTTTTTCGATATAATGGTAAAATATCTTAAGTAGGAATTTGTATTCAAAGATTTTGACCATCACAACTTAAGTCTCAAATGAAAAAAAGATTATGTTCGAAATTAGTAGAAAAACTTGCATCGAATAGGTATATTCAATACTTAAAACTATGTGGTTTTCGTCAAATTTTGACCTTCGGAAAACATCAAGAACAAATTATTCGAAGTCTCTTGATACTTTTAGTGTATTTCAATTTTCATAGAATTTTCTGATTTTTTATAAACTTTATTTGAATTTCAAATTACTGGCATCTTGAAATAATGGAAGAGTACAAATTTTAAGTGTTTGTTCTCTTCGTCCAATTCCTACATATCCTATATACAGTAAGATACAAAAAACTTGATACTTAACAAGCGATTTTCTTTGATGCGTATTTCCCCAATTTGTAAAGCTTTCGTTTGAAAGATTTTGTCAAATGTCAGAGGTCAATTTGATGTATTTAGTGAAGAATGTGTTATTGAGTTTTGATGAAAATGGCACATCAATTCGATTACTAACTGTTTGTCACGGAATACAGTGTTTTATCTAGGTTTTTCACTCCTAGGGGGCAAACTCAGCTGTCGGGAGGGCAGGCCAAAAAATTCCTTAAGGAATGAACTATCAAGAGTGTTTTCGAGTCTATTTTACTGACGCTTGCAAAAGACAACGATACGCAAAATATTAATTCGAATTTGATTGAAATTAAGGACGAAGGATAGTCATATTATATTGTGGAAAATGAGTCTGTTCTATCTTGGTACAGTTAGGTGACCTGATTCTACTACGAGAAGTATCGCCTCGCAGTAATAGATCCATAATTCGACTAATGATCATTGTACAGAACTGATTTTTAGTTTTTCTTTAATTGAATGAGCACTTCCGCGTCGATCTATATGTGTTCGATTACAAAATAATCAATCTTTGGTCATAAATGGTGCAAGAATACGAGCAGGGTTGATTTTTTTCAATTTTCCTGGTATTTTCAATTGCGCCACTGAGGCTATTTTCAGTTCCTAATCCTTCCATTACTACGTCAAACATAATGACTTCCGAAGTAGAACAAGATTTTATGGACAAGATTGCGAAAAATATAAAAGTGAACTATGTCGAGAGAAGCACAAATAGACCTACCTCGATGAGACGGAGTCTATGGTTTATTCTGTAGCCACAACTAAGGAAATTTTTGTTCATAAAGTCTTGTTCTACTTCGAAAGATATTTCGTTTGAAGTAGAAATGGAAAACTATGAGCTAAGAATACCTCCAGTAGCATAATTAGGAACATCAGGAAAATTGAAAAAGAACTCGACTCCGCTCGACTTTCCCTTCTCTTATGAAACAAAGATTGATTACTTTATGACCAAATACATACAGATCGACACAAATATTCACTCCATTAAAAAAAAAACTAAGGATCAGGTTTAAAAGATGATCAATAACCGAGTTACAGATTGATTACTGCGAGGTAAAATTGTTCGCATTCAGAGTTAGGTCATCCGACTCTAACATTATATTTATTGAAATTATTCCAAAAATGTCGCATCAAAAATATTTTTAGGAAAATTTTATTGATATTATTTTTTTAAGTTTCATTTTTCTCGGGGGGGGGGGGGCACAATGTCCCATGCCTCCCACTGGATAAAACACTGATGGAATATATAAGTTATATAAAATTAATGGATTGAGGATAGTTGTAATGCGAATGAAATTTTCATTATAATGAAGATCTCTGTCTGTGCTATCCGACATAAAATTGTCAAGAACCAAGCAATTGGAGTTTTATGAAGCACCAAGGATAGTAAAGCATTAGATTCTTTCCTCAAAAATTGATATTGGATCCGGTACATTCGAATCGCAAGAAATTTTCAACTCAATATTATGATGTTTGAGGATGATATTCATATATTTGAAAGATTGTGTCGAAACTGTAATCCGTTTTTTTCAAAACTCTTACTTTTTATTCGAAGAAAAAGGATGAATAATTCAATAACTCAAAAAGTAATCATCTATTTATAGAATTTCAAAATTCCTAAAGAAAATTAGTCTTTTTTTAAATGAGGACGCTGCAGTATTACATTGTAGTATATATGTAATTTATCCATAAAAGGATTTTTATACTCATCATTGTCAGTAGAAGAAAAATTCTAATGACAATTTTTTTTTTGTGCTCTACTGTATATCTATATAAAATTAAAAAAAAGAACAGAAAATAAACTTTACCAAGTTGAACAGGCAATGTTCGGATTAAATTTCCACTTAATAATAAATATCGTAATGAACTATTTTTATCGAGACCAAGACTTGGAATATGAGTAATTTTATTGTTGCGTAGGTCAATCCATTTTAAATTTGGTAATCGAAGAAATAAATCATCTGGTAATTGTGTTATTTCATTACCTTCTAAATATAAATACTAAGAAGAGAAAAAAGAAAAGTGATGATGAAAGCTTTTTCTTTTGTTTTTTTATTGTGATCGAATTTGTAGAAAATATTTACTTGCAATGAAGGAAATTCTAATAATGTTGTAGGAAATTCAGTAATATTTTTTTTTGAAAGATCAAGACAATTATAACCTTGTTGTTTAGCTTGTATTATAAATTGAGTAAGATCATCTTGTTCTTTATTTTCATTAATATGAAGAATTTCATCAACTTGATCATGAATTTCTGGTGAAAGATCATCATTTTTAATTTCTTCTTCAATTTCTTTTTCTTGTGGATCTAATTCAGGTGATAAAGATAATGATAAATCAGATATATTGTCATCAATATCATTTTTTGGTGATTTATTATCTTGTTCTTCATTTTCGGATAGATCTGGTTGAAATTCATTATCATTCGTCATGTTTAAGTTAACATCTATAGCAATTTATTATGTCAATACTTTCCAAGTATGAGTACTTTTTTTTTTTTTTATTCACACCATGTTTTCTATTATGTCAGTCAATTGCAACCTAGCAACAGCAGTTATATATAGAATAGAATCTAACGCCATCTTCCTGCAAGTATAATATATTGAATTAAACTTGCATTTAAACGAAAAACGTTGAATATTGCTAGTCTATGATATTAATATTTTGATACATCTAATATTTGATTACATTGAATGACAATGTTTAACATGTTTTTCTAAGCTTTTTTTTTTTAAATAAATATGTAATATATACTGACAATCTTTTTCAAATGAAAGTAATGTTAAACGCAAAAGAAAATGTTTGCTGTAAGTCAAGCAGTTTAAAATGTGAACAATGAGAAAGAATATTGAAATATTTTGCTATTGGCTATTTCCGCTAAAGTGTTTTATGATGTATGTAACAAAGCATTAAAAGCTCTAAGTAGCAACAGTACCCATGATCAAGGAATTCAATGTATATGTATATGAACAATTTCAGAAGAAACGAAATATACAAATCTTTCATTTGACTTTGATTGTTGACAAGGATTATTTTTTGTGAATTAGTTTTTTTAGCATAGATATGCGTAAATCTGTTGGCTTCATTAATTAACATTTTGATTATAATTCATTGAAAATAATTAGCAAATGTACTTCTAACAATATGAGAACGAACTCTTTTACCTTTTTTTGCTGGTCTTACTGAGATAGGTCTATAAGTACAATATGAACTTAAACTACAGGTACCTATTGAGGTAGTTCCTTCTTTAGTGTCGATCTATTTCATTCAGCAAAAGAATTCAAACATTTATAGTGTACTAATGTGGGTCAGGATAAGAAAATCTAATAGTTATGAATAACTCATCATAGACTAGAAAACTTGTGAACATTTTGATATAAAAATTTTGTGTATTGGCGCCTAATTGGTATTCATTATTTTTTTATTTTAAATAAACGAAATAATTTAATGTTATCATTATCATCAAGTGCTTTTAATCTGACTAAAGTACAATTGAATAAATTTCGTGAAACTCGTCATAATTCAACATTTTATCAAGATTTATTGAAAACTGAAATAGCGTCAGATCATGAAGGAAAACAATTGTTTGAAAATAAAAAAACTCATTTTTCCTCTATACCTTCACGAAACAATATTGTTTATATATCAAATAATGAATCAATAATAGATCATAAATTGAACTCAATTGAAAATAAAACTTTCAATCAAAATCAAAATGATGAAAACATAATTAAACCATTATTCAATCATCTACATCGATCAATTCCTAAACATTTACGATCTCGAGAATTAAATACAAAAGAATGGTTTTATACAGAAAGTAATGATATTTTATTTGATTAATAATAGAAATAAAAAGAAAAAAAAAGAAAATTCATCGTCTAATTGTTAACTTCATTATTAACAATTTCTTCTTCTTTTTTCATATTATTTTTTAATGGTAGTAATTTTTTTCCTGGTAATTGTCGAAGTACTATATGTGATCGACTATCTATTGATGCATTTATTGTTGTATTATTAATATCCATTTGATTAAATGGATTTTGTGGTATAACATTTGTTACAATTTGTGATAATGGTCTATTGAAATTAGACTGACGATACGATAAATTATCAATAGGAAATGATCTAATTATGAAATATTAAATTAAAAATCAACAAAGAAAGAATAAAATTTTCTACTTATGAAATGCTGCAGTTGTTGTATAAGCACGACCAAATTCATCATAATGAGATACAGGATCAATTTTAGTCCAATGTGATTTTCCCGTATAAAATGGAATATTTGTTTTACTAAAACAGAATACATTGACAACGAGAAGTATATACTTATATATAAATATGATCACCTTTCTTCATTTGATAATACTAGTATTCTCTCTATTCCCTATGTGGCTAGTATTACAGAGCATTATCGTATGATTCTCAGAGGATGAGAGGGAAGAACAGCAGAGATTTCAGTCTTGAAAAATCTTATTAAGAGGGAAAAAAACGAAAATTCCGTACTTCAAGATATATCAAAGCCATCTATCCTCTGGAACTTCTTAGGTATTATACAAAATGAATTCAAAGTGATACGCACATAACATGCGTCCATAATATATTTGAAATAGTTTTGACATACCTTTGGAGTATACTGAAGTATGAAGTTTTCGCTTTTTTTTTCCATGAAAATTTTCGTCTACTACTATTGAGTGGATTTCTTAATTTTCAATCGGGTAAATGTAAGAAGAATGCGCAAAAGTAGAGACACCTTTCCTGAAGTTTTTCAAAGAGAAAGCTCTATCGACAGATTTTTATGAAAAACCAGTTGTGTTTTTTTTTATTAAAGAAATTACTTTCACTACAGTTTCAAAGAGAAAACCTATATAAACTTATAATTAGGGAACTGCAAAGTGGTCCCGGTCCCGGTCCTGGGACCGGGACCGGCAGGGCTGGCCCGATAGGGGGTTTTGGGGGTTGTGACAACCCCCCAATAATCGAAAATTTTCGTTTTTTACCCAGCAAAAATGAATTTTTTTTCGTGAGTAGTGTTAGAAAAAAGTTTTATTCGCATTAAAAATATCCGAAACAACTCCCCAAAAAATTGCCACAACCCCCCAATGTTTGCTGACTCGGGCCAGCCCTGGGGACCGGGACTAAAAAATTTTCATACTGCTCTCGGTCAGTCTTTTATGCAATGTGTCGCCATTTATCTTATTTTTTTGACAATAGTAATGGCGATTCAGTATAAATAATCAATTCGATAATAAATCCATTAGATAAAACAGTAGATATAAAAGAAGAGAGAAATGAGTAAATGACTACTACGAAGTACATGAGAATTTTTAACAAAATTCAATGGTTATTTTTATTTATTCGAGTTTTCAATTAAATTCTTTCACTTTAACACTNAATAAATTTAATAGAGCCCAAGGTTGACTAAAGATAAGATGTCGATGAAAAAACAAGTTCATAATAAAATCTATGTGCTTTGATTCAACTTGTTATTCTGATCCAGAATATCATATATATTTTCCTTATGTTTCAGTATTTACTGGCCTAAATCTCTAAACGTAAGGGTAGTTTTCCATAATTCAAAATATTTTTTACGGCCTCATATTTTAATAGTCCCAATAAATGATTAGTTTTTCAGTCAACAATATGTCGCGAAGAAGAAAAGTATTAGCATAGCTGTACAGAACGAAAAAAGTTATTATATTCACTGTTGTCTAGATAATTTACTCACTTGTGATGAAATCTGAAATTTGAGAAGTTGTTTGAAAAAACTGATTTTTGGATATTGGAGAAGCATTTTGTCGAGGTAACTCAATATGCTCTATTCAATTATACATAAACTAATGCAAAAAAACATAGGCAAAAATTATAAGTATCGCACCTCTCACAACAAATATCGAAAGAATTCTTTCTCCAATGTCAAGTTGTTTGACGGTTGACTCACTGAAACTGGAGTCATTATTTGCAGATGATGATACAATAGAACTACAACGATAGTGATTTCATTCTGATGCAAAAGACTCATAAGATATTTTGAAGGTTTTGCGCATTAATAAGACATCCTGTATGTCTTCTTGAAAAATATCCTTTGTTTATAGTCAATAGACAAAATTCTAGTGTGTAGTCTTTTGTTCGGTGGTCGTTGATAGAAATATGATTCTCAATGTAATATTCATTGATGATAATATTTGAACTAGAGCCAAAAAAAAGAAATGATAACCAATAGAAACAATTGCTCGATGATGCACTTCAACAATAGAAACGTAGAAAAACGTCCAATATTCAACTTTTCATTTAGAAAATACAATAGAAGAAAATAAAGAACATAACAAATTAATAAACACATCAAACCTGATCTATTCTAATCGTCAGGTTATATATGTTTTCCCAGATGATGATCCAAACAAGGTTATGCTATACTTTTTTTTATTGGAGGTAATCATCTCAAAAAAAATGAAATAGGATTGATCGCATGAATTGTCCATCAACAGGTCTTAAAAAAGAATAAGATTAGCTATATTGTACGTAGGGTGGATGTGGGCGTGCAGTCTTCCGGAATTCTTATGACAAAATTTGTCATCGACCTATGCATACACACCGTTTTAATGATTTCCATTCATTTCCGACAACTCTTGACGTTGTTAAACTCATTGAACCTCATAAATCGGTGCTTATCTCTTGGAAAAAGTAGTGTTGCCATCGATATAGATATTCATGACGGTCCGAGTCACAACTACTCCACTAAAAACTTCATAAAACGTTGAGTTATAAATTAAGAAGTCTGTTAAGTTTAAGTTAACTTCGACTTTATCAACAGATTGGCAAAACAGTAAAAGTTCACATTTCTACTAAAATGAAATCATTAAAAATCAGATAGTTTCATTAGTTTTCTTATGAATTTTATATAGACTAAATTTATGTCAAACATTCCGTAAGACTTCATGGAACTTCACAGTCGAAGTTTCAGTTGTTTCTCCCCGGCGTTATCTAATAATAATTATCTTCTGATTAAAAATATGTAATCTACCAAGAATTGAACAGAACAAGAGATTTTCTTTGTGAACTTGAGGGAAGAAGTAACTAATAATGCTGTTTTTTGAATATTCAATGTTAATTCTAATTGATGGATGTTGAGCTTGATGAATGTATTGCAATATTATATGATATTAATGACTTTTTGCTGATGCTGAAGCTTTTGTCATATAAAATGTTGTGTTTGTTTAGCAGGTTTTGTACTTTTACTTAGTATGTCAACACATTAGGAAAAAGTAAAATTTTTAATCGAATTTTTTTGATTTCTTTTTAATAAACATAAAAAAAATATTTTGTAGGAAAGAATGATAATGTTCTGAGTCGTCCTGGTATTTTTATGCTTGATACGATGAATCACAATCCTACATTGTATTTATATTAACATGAAAAACACGATTTTTCTATACATATTAAAAGTCCACAGATTGTTAAGATAAGATTAAATTACTATTTAAATTGAAGTACGCATTTTAATATTTATATTATTGAAAAGGATACGTACGTTTTCCTGCATTCTCTATCTACATCACAAAATATGTGCTTTTTTTATGCATTAAAATAGCATATTGCTTATATTTCTACTATACCTAAGATTTAAACATCAATGAACAGATGTCATTGTTTGACATTACGTCAAATTGATTGATATTGTAGAAGTGAACTAGATAAAAGTGGTTTTGTTATACAATTTGAACAAATTTGTTCAATATGTATTTATTCAGAACGTTCAGCTAAAGCAAATGATCTTTGTTTCGGATAAATTTTAGCTAAAAGTCAATGAAAGTAGTCTAAGTGATGCAAACCCTAATGATGTCAAAAGACTTGTGGTTGAAATAAAAGTTTTAATTAAATGAAATCTTTCATTTTAGACATAATCTCACAAGGGAAACTTTTCGAAGTGATAAATCGTTCTTGAGTTTGGATTCTTTGTATATGGTTGATGTCAGTGAGGCATGAAAAATCTTCCAAAGAGTAAGTGCTCTTATAGGTTTTCCCACTAGAGTTGTAGTCATTTTACTGAAATTCCGTTCATGAATAAACCTAATAGTGCCCAAAAGATGCTGAAAATGTCAGCATGAAAGAATATTTCGTATATAATAAGATACTGAAATTACGACAATCAGTCATATCCTACGATAAATGAAAAAATCTCATGAAGGAAGTATTCTTTTGTGCTGAAATTGTTAGTGCATCGTAAGGTCAATTAGGTATATGTGTGGACAAAATTTTACTCAAATAGCTAAAACTCTAGAGAGAAGGTCTAAGGACACTTTTGAAAATGATTTATTACTTTGAACTGTTTCCTCATCATTTATATCGTTTTTGAATAATGTTATCGTGAGTAAAGAAATAAAAGGTCCGTAAGTTCTTGATCCTGATGATGATATCGATGAAGATGATAGTATTGAATGTAAAGAAAATGTTTTATCACCATCGTCCTATCATATAACCTTGCAAATCTCAGGACATAACGCTGTTCGTTAACGAATTCTTTGTGATTATAATATCGGTTCATCATCAACAAGCAATAACTATTTTATAAAACAATATTACAAAGAAACACGAGAATCTTAAACTTCATCTTTCCAAGATTCTATGACGAGTACAACATCAAATTAAATAAATAAAGGGTGTGGGTGTGGGTATTAGGGTACCTTCATGGACAAAAACGCCAACGCCTAAGACCACATCTACACCCACACCATCCACCCTGTAGAAGAATTCGTATTTGCATGCATACTAGTATGAAATAAATGAAAGTGAATATTCTGCTTACTTAACAAAAAAAAACTATCTGCCTCATTAATTCTTATTTCAATGAAAATTTAAATTTATCATTCAATAGAAGAATGTTATTTTGTAAATAGCTTGTTGTTAATTTTAATGAAAATATCACGGAAAATAATTATGCATTCACTCTTTATAAGATCTTATTAAAAATAAGTATCATTATATTTTTAATTGCTTCGTAGAAAAAAGTATTGAAATTCTTCAGTCATAATTTCATGTCGTCTGGTGAGAAGCACCTTTTTTTTTCATTTATACATTGTATTTCGAAAGTTGAAGACAATTATGTCAACCATGCAGATCAAATCCAATATATTTAGCCATTCAATTATTCAGCACTATTATAACAGATATCATCTCGTTGAGTATTGGAGAAAATGAATAGTTCGACATATGCATCATTCCTTGTTCAACAAATGAATACTGTATGAAGTCCTTTAATTTTGCAATGTCTCTGAGGAAAAAGAACTGTCGATACATTGACCGTATTTTTGAAGCAACTCTCAAACTTACGAGGAAACACATTCAGGTGCCGGAGCACTTTCTAGTCGGGACTTAGGGCATCTTGTAGATTTTAGTGAACTATGTCTACCATTAAAGGAGATCGAACGTTTTTAGTTTTATAGTTGGATATGTTCGTGGAACCTCAACCATGCTGGACAAAAATTGATCTCCGATTTTGATGAACTTTTCAGCATTTGTAGAGCTTTTAATTCTACGCATTTTGATAAAAAAAAATCTTTGAAAACGCTTTTGTTTTGACGAAGATAGACTTAAAATATTCCAAGCAGTGAAAACTGTAAAACTCTCAAGAAAAATTCTTTTCTTTAGTTTTGCGTTTTTACTGCTTAGAGTATTTTGAGTCTATCTTCGTCAAAACAAAAGTGTTTTGAAAAACTTTTTTTATCAAAATACGTAGAATTAAAAGCTCTACAAATGCTGAAAATTTCCACAAAATTGGAGATCAGCTTTTGTACGGCGTGGTTGAGGTACCACGGGCATGTCCAACTATAAAACTAAAAACGTCCGATCTCCTCAGAAACAAGCCGTGGGCCCGAACTCCTTTAATGGTAGACATAGTTCATTAAGGTCTACAAGATGCACTAAGTCCCGACTAGAAAGCGCTTCGGCACCTGAATATGTTCCCTCGTTAGATCATTTTTAGAACTCGGAAAAATATTTGTAAATATCTGATAAGACAAGTTTGTTTTATTCATATCAGAGACCAAAAATGATTGACGTTTTTAGTGATGAGTAGTGTCAGTATGAATATGAAAACGTCATTTCTCGCAAACCAAATCATAGTTTTGACAGCATTCATTTCTTTTCTGATTAGTTCCGATCATGATTTTGGAAAATTCGCTTGAAATATTTTCATACGAAATCTAAAATTCTTCTTACTTGATTTATTCAGTGAATAATTGTTACTTTTTGGTCTCCGCGTTTTAACTGTTTTTCTAGTGGTATCATAAATGATTTACACAACTCAGCACAAAAGCATCTAACTCTAATCTTTAATTGTTCTGTCGACAACGATTTAATATTCAATATCAGTCTCTACCACCAGAATTATTAGTAGTTCCGTAGATCTCACGATAGAGCTAATGACTGTTTAACTACGGATAAAATGAAACAATGATTCTGAAAATTTAATTTATTTAGATTTCATTTGCTTTATATATTTTTTTTGAAGTGAATTTCGATTATCGAAAATCCAGAAAAGAGAAATAAACAATTCTGTGTATCACCTTCATTTCTTGAAATTAACTAAAAATCAACTTGGGCGTGGACGTGTGTGAGTAGGAAAAGAGCAGGACCCACACCCACTACACAGTCACACCCAAAATTCGTTTCTGTTGACACTGATTGTTCTCATCAAACAATTTGATATCAAATTTTATCAATACCAACTAATTCTGCTGAAATATGCAAGAATTTGGATTTAAACATTTATCTATGTACTATGATATTATGCTTTGACACTACAATAACTCGTGATGTTTTCTGGAAGCAGTAGATCCAAGAAGTCAGTTTTCTGCTTGGAAATCTCACTTTTCTGCTAGAAAAATAATTATTCATGTCCTATTTCAGTTGTTCAGTCTTCTGTTGAAATCGTCGGAGCAGTGACGGAAAACAGAAATTTTGATCAAATTGAGTTTTCCACTTGTTTTCGCTCAGTTTTCATTTTTACATACTTTCAGGCAGCTCTCTGTCGATCACATCTAAAGAGGCTGTATCATGTTTCACTTTGTAATATTGTAGGGATTACTGTGAAAGCCTTTCTTTCAATGAAACACCCACACATTTTTAAGAGTGCAAAATCATTCCTAGTTGTTTTTCAAAGAGATCAGCTTAAGAAGAACAAATCAATCAATTTTGTGCTTTTTTCATGCTCGTAATAACAAAGAATAGGCAACATATATAAATACAGCTATTTACTGGTCTGAATTACACACAAGTGTATCGTCACACAATAGTATTACGATTAACAATTTCAATAACCAAACGTGAGTAAATAGTTGGACACTATGAGATTAAACTAGAGTAACATCTTTTTGGTTTCGAAATGCTTCGGCTAAGGCTGATCCTTCCCATTCATACAGTCATTGGATTGTTAGAGTGAGTAAGAGCGATACTTGCTGTTTTCGTACCAGGATCTTATTTTCATGTTGTAATGTTTTTGGTGGCCATTTTTTATTTCCTTTGCTTGTATATCTCCCTCCATCTTAACACTGTTCCAATTCATCCATGTGAGGATGATAATGAGGTGAGTGTGGATATGTTTGCAACGAGTACGCACGTCCACGATCGACTCAATAAATCGAGTAATATATCGAAGTATCGAGCGATATATCGCCAACAAAAATGGCGAGTAGTCGCAAAGAAAGAATGTCAGCTGAAGGAAAGAATGACTGATCAAACATAGATAAGATGAACAACATCGAGAGAAAGAAGTGCCTGACAAAGCAGTCATCATATATTTTTTCTGTATGCAAAGGCGTGCTGGAATATCGAGTGAGCGAGATAAAATGGCAGTGCCATTATTTTGACTATAACTTTTGTTCACTTCGTTCCTTAAAGTCGGTTCCCTTCGCAAAAGAACCGCCGTCAAATTCTTTATCTTTTCCGATATAGCTGATTTTTTAACGGTGGTTTTTAATAAAATTTTTCGATGTCTGTTGTTTTTCAAATTTCTTTTCGACTACTCATCAGTTCTTTTCAAACAATGTGATTTTCGTTAGAACATGTTGCCAATTCATAGTTCTAACGCACGTCTTGCAGTAAGTAACTTCTGTAAAGTAATGCTTCAAATTATGACTGAAACATATCTTAACGAAAATCACATTGTTTGGAAAAGGCTAATGCGGAATTGAAAAGAAGTTTGAAAAACGATATATTTTGCAATCTGACATTCGATACAACATTTGCTGTTTCTCACCTAAAAAAACTAAAGAGAATTCCATGCGATCAATGAAACACAATACCTAGTGAAGAACTGAATGGGAAATCTCTTGGTGAAAGATCAGCTCGATTGCGTCTCAAGGAGAAGAAAAAATTTATAAAAACACTGATCATCGCGAATAAATGGAATTTATGTTACCATTGAGAAAATGCGACATTCTGCATATGTTCAGTAGACATTTCAAAACTTTACTAAAAACAACTCTTAAAAAATCAATTATACTGCAGAAGATAGAGAATTTAACGGCAGTTCTTTTACGAAGAGAGCCGACTCTAAGGAACGAAATTAACAACAGTTATAGTCAAAATACTGGCACTGCCATTGAATCTGGACCACCCGATAATTTATTCACTTATACTTATCGTATCATTCATTTGTACTGATAGGATATTCCAATGCGGATCATTATGCAGTTCATGATGGCGTTGGTTCTGCCTTGGACCACTCTTGCGCAACAATATGGAACGTGTACGGCCAGAAATGGTCGTAGTGGAGAATGTATCAGTACCAGAACATGTGCAGCCAACGGTGGAGTCTCAGATCCAGCCAATCTCTGTCCTGGTGACAATTCGATCCAGTGTTGCACATATGGCACATGCACGAATAGTAAGGGTGTCGCAGGCATATGTCAACCAACTTCGACTTGTAAGGGAACGTCCGATCCGGCCAACCTCTGTCCTGGTGGCAACAATATTCAATGCTGCGCAGTAGGATCTACTCCAACTGGTCCTGGTCCCAGTAAACCAATTAACACGATGCTCACGGGTTTGGCCGATATTCTTCGTGGCGCTGGTCTCAACGTAGTCGAGGTTGCTGGCTGGAGGACTCGTGGTCATGGCGTGATGGCTTCTGTGAAAGGTATTATTGTTCATCACACGGCAGGTCCAAATACAGGTGACTATCCCTCGTTGGCATTCGTTCGCGACGGTACCTCTAGTCTTGCCGGCCCACTCTCTCAACTTGGACTAGGCCGATCGGGAACTTGGTTTGTCATTGCAGCAGGTCGTGCCTACCACGCCGGGAACACCATCGATGACTCCATCTATGGAAATTCCAACGCAATTGGTATCGAAGCCGAAGGAGTTGGTCTACCAGCGACCGATAGTGGACATACACACTGGCCCGAAGTGCAATACCAGAGCTATGTGAAAGGAGTTAAGGCTCTCCGAAATGCTTACGGTGTGCCTACTGCTCGCGTATTAGGACATAAGGAGGCAGCAGTACCAAAAGGTCGCAAAATCGATCCCAACTTCTCTATGGCTGAGTTTCGTGCTAAGCTCGGCTAAAGTCACGTGATTAGGGGTGCACCGGTTCCAAAGAACCGAAATCAGTCAGAATGGATCGAAAGTGAAAGCGGCTGGAATTGTATTACAAAATTATCAACTTTTCTCTGTGGTTGTTTAAAGAGCTGAAACTTTAGGATAAACTCCAACTATGATTTGAAATCCGACAGCTCAGAGAGAAACTTTTCCAGTAAATTGCGTAGAAAATCATCATCTCACTGGAAAATAGCCAGGCCAAAGTCGACAAATTTATCTGAATGTTTCCACCTGAAATTTAAACCACAGGTAGTTGTCAATGATATATAATGTACCTCGGAAATTTCAGCTCGGCATATTATGTCCACAATAAGATTTCGAAATCAGAAACGTCGAGAAACAGTCATTGATTTTCAACTGGAGCGCCCACTAGACGTCAACACATCGATCTGGGATTTTAATCACGGTTAACTATGAATGAGATAAGGTAGCTTCGGATAATTTTAGCACGTTATCTCAAACCCATCAGAATATTCTAATGGCGGAGATTTCAATAAATAGCCATTTACATAATAGAAGGGTTCAGATGAACCACATCGTTCCAAGCTCATATTTTAGCCACGGTTCATTAGCAGTAATATATGATTGCTCAGAAAATTCACCTCGTTGTCTAAAGTGTATTGGGAGATATTGATCCCAAAAAGTTCATAAGAGGATTTTGTTTGAAAACTTTTGGCGGCGGCAACGCCGCATAAGTCGCGTCAAAATCAGAGAGTTGAATGCTGGTAGGTAGAGCTTTTTGAATACATAAAGTCGTCTTTCGAATATTTGCCACAGATATGTTTTGTTGTTGTGTGAGTTCCAATACAATACTGGAGCTGGTACAAGATGCTGTAAGCCGTACTAATATACGAGAATCGCAAGATATTTTCTTGCCATAAAAGAGTTTCATATTAATAACGGTCCCGAGAAATCGACAACTAGCATGCCTACTATTGATGGATATAAGATACCGAGCTGAATTTTCCTGAGGTGTTTCGTATTATTGATAGCTAACTATGGTTTAAATTTCAGGTGAAAACATTTAGATAGATTTTTTCATTTTTGTCTGGCTATTTCCCAATGAGCTGGAAAATTTTTTCTCTGAGGTGTCCGATTTCAAATCATGGTAGGCGCTTTCGTGGAAATATTCAGCCATTTAAACAAACAACCCGAGAGAAAAGTTGATCATTTTATAATTGAACTCCCGACACTTTCGCTTTCGATCGATTCTGACAGGTTCCTGTCCTAAAACCGAAACCTGAACTGGTGCATGCCTAGATGTGACTTTGTTCTTCTATTTGCCATTTTTTTGTGATGTTATGTTCAACAAAAGGCGAATTCAATAAAAATACTTTTCAGCGCAATCTCCACAATAACAAAATATGAAAAACGATAGAGTCACTCAAATTATAATCATGAAACTTAGCTACGTCTATCACAGCTCGTGGCGGAACTAAGGTGTGAATGTAGACATATCAGTAAAATAAATACTAATACCCACATTCGCTTCATCTCAATAAAGAGTTTTCGATGAATTCTGAAACGATTTTAAAATTCATCGTTCTTGCATTCTACAAAACAAAGCTTTTTGAAAATTTGGTAAATTATGTTACTGACATAGTACTGAATAACTCAAAGTTTGAGTTTGATAGCTTTTACTTTGACTTAGAAACCGTGGAGACATGATTATTCAGTATTTTATTAATTTTTGCCATGATTCACATTTTAAAATAAAAACAATTTTTCAAAATAAAAAGAAGCACATCTCAAAAACTATTAATGTTTGTGTATTTCGTTAGCATCCTCATCATTAGTTATTTGAATCATGCTGGTGTTTTATCCATTATTCATTGGCATAAAGAAAGCATGTGGGTATTCATTTCAACTACACCCATACCCCTAGACACTTGAGTGTCTATTGCATAAAATAAGTACAAGTAAGAAATATAATTAAAGAGAAAAACGTTTACTATCAAAGGTCGATTCCTCCCGGTCGTATACGGTCACATAGAGTGTGGGTGAGTTTCTTCTTTCATTCACGCCCACACATCCACCTACCTAACTTAAATGATCAATTTTTGATAGTGAAATATTTAAAATAAAACTCGAACTATTCTCATTTTCTTTGTATCGCGTTTATCAACAAAAAAAAGAGAAAGAAAGTTTACTTGAAAATATTTTGTATTTTAATCTCGAATTATTTCTAAGATAAAATTAAAAAGTCGAACATAAATTTGATCAAAAAAATCTTCCAATAAAAAAATTTTCTCTGTTATTTATTTAATATCATTGAATTGGATTTTATGTCATAAAAAAAAGAAAACACTAAAATCGAATTTTCTGCAATAACATTTTCAATTTATCAAAAAACCGATCAAAATTCAAGATAAGAAATGACGAAATTAATAAGTTAAAAACAATTAAGAAGAACAAAAATATTTTAAACATTTTGAAATCATTCGAAAAAGAAGATTTAGGGCTTCTTTTTTAATCATTAAAAATCGAGATCGAAATAAATTTTAACCAATTCGATGCGCTTCCCTAGTGGGATTTGATTTTTTCTTGTCTATTATAAATTATTCAATGTAAAATTAGACGTTAAATAATCAATAGAGTATTTACTATTCGTCTACAGAAGTTTCCGCTTCTCGAACAATGTCAATAACTCGAATTATTTCAATATCAGAATGAACTACAAAATTTTTGACTTATTCTCATTTTCAACATTCGATAAAGCAAATTTTTTTCCCGAATTGTCATTAAAAATTGACAATGAAAATAATATTTGATTGATTTTAAAGTTAAAGGTTTGCAACTTACAACTATTTTGAACGTTTTCTATTAAAAATTAAACTTCTATTAGAAAATTCGTTTTATAACACTGAAGATATATGTTGTTTGGATTCCTTTTTTTGAATCACGAATAGATAAGCCATCTGATGAGATCCTTCAGCAAAGTCAAAACCAGTCATAGCAGCTTTTTTACACCCACTAAAAAGTCTCACTTTTATTTAGATTTAAACAACAAAAGTGTTCTAAAAAATTGCTTTCTTTCATTTCGTTGCTCTTATCGCGTTCAAAATCAGCTTTTTTTGTTCATTTTTAGAAACAGTTTTATCTCAAAAAATTCTCTTAAACTCTCACCCNCGAATTGCAAATAGCTCTACAAAACCCTGCATTCAGTTTTTCTAATTGACAAGTTAGAGAAGTCTGGCAGGCTCCTTTTGAAATAGAATTGATCCTTCATGGAAATGTATTCTTACTTTTTTATTTTTTATATTGTTTTCTTTCGGAAAAGTTCGAACAAAGCTGATTGTTGACGATGAAATCGTGTTCGAATTTTTATTATTTTTATCATTGAGAATAGAATTTTTTCTAGTAAAAACCTTAATAACATTTGAGCCATAGAACTCAAATTATTATAATTACGTAGTAGAAAATAGATGGCTTTGTTCTTATTTCACTATGTAACAGATAGAAAATGTTTTCTTCTATTAACTTGAATCAATATAAATAGAATTTTGAGATGAATTAAATTTTCTACATTTCTGTTTAACAGTAAAGTTCGAATTCAGTCTCTTTTTATATTGAAAGATGTATAATCGAAAACATTTAACTAGTGACTTTGGTAGATCTTTCGAGTTTCATTTAAAGAAAGTCTGAATTATAATCATTGGTATGATGATGTAAAGTTGGTTTTAGCCCAAAAGAAATTTCAACTATAATTTAGTGTGAAAGTTGATCAATGTTTACTCTATTCATTGACTATGTCATATGAGAATATTTGCTAAGAACTCTAACGTGTTATTGATGATTGAAGTTATCAGTTTTCGATTTCCTTAGTTCTATATTCTTTGTAGACGTTGCTGTTTTAAAGAGCCAATTGTTCCGGTAAAAAATGCAGAATGAAATGAATAATATATTGGATGCGATCATTGTTCATCATTCATCACTAATCAGTGATGACATTCTTGACGAACATAATCTAACGGAGGAGGCCAAAAATCAGTTTGGCTGTCACGTTGACATTTTACAAGCGTATCAATTGTATCAAAAGAGTCTGCTGCATAATCGAAAGCTGACACACATCGGTCGACATATGCTCTTATCCACACTCGCTATGCAACATCAGCAATGCAAAAATGTGCTAAATTATGCTGCTGCTAATCCTAAACTACTCAATGAAACTTTACCAAATGTTGGTCCACTTGTTATTTGTGGCCTTCCACGCACTGGTTCAACACTACTTTACAATTTACTCGCATGCGATCCCAATTGTCGAGCTCCACTGACCACCGATATGCTTGGCGAATGTATTCCTCCGATTCCACGTGCAAACGCCATCGAACATCAGAGACGAGCCTTCATTATCGATTCAAATCAACAGACAATTGAGCAACAAATAGGTCGGCCGAGAACCGTGTTCGAATCGCATCCGAGATTTGAAACAGAAGAAGATTTCAGAATCTTAGATCAAGCTGGCATCGTTCTTCCACTCATGTTTGTCAGTCCTGTAGAACATACTGAGCTACATGATTGGTTCTACAGTGAGACAAACAAAGATTTTGCCTATGATTATCACAAGACGTTTCTCCGCATTTTAAATTCGGTCGATACACCACGTTCTCATTGGCTTTTGAAATCACCCGAGCATTCACTCTATCTTGATACATTTCTGCGCTATTATCCAAACACGAAACTAGTGTTTACTCATCGACGTCTTGATGATGTGATTCCGTCGTACTGTCGTCTAGTATGGGCATATGACAATATTTATTTCGACGAAGCCGATCCAGACAGTCAAGTCTTATTGTCAGCACAAGCTCGACGACATATTGATAAAATGATCGAACATATCATCAAGTTTCGGATCCATCGAAGTCAATCGAATGATGCACCGCAAAATGAAATTATCGACATTGCTTACGATGATTTAGTCCAGCAGCCGATTCAAACTGTTCGAAAAATCTATGGTCATTTTAACCTACGTTGGTCACATCAGTTCAAAATAAACATGTGCAGTTGGCTTCGCAATAACCCACAAGGCAAACAAGGTCGTCATACATACAGACGAATGGAGCTTGACCTTACAACAGATGCAGATTCTGCAAATCACCATGCTGTTTACACGAATTTATTTCTTTGATGATTATTCTCATATTACCTTTTTTTTCGACCTTGCTAACAACAACATTCTTTCACCGATAAGAAACTACTCTATCCGTACTCGAATTGACCCTATGAATAAAAGACTGTTTGTCTCTGCTTTCGTATTGGAGCTTCGGCGAATCTTAGAGAAGTTTGATTTCACTTAAACGAGCCGGCAATTCTTAGAAATATTACCTACCATATCAATGTCGATAGCAAGGCTTTATTAGTAAGTCTTCTAAATAGCTTCTTTCATTATTATATTGCCTTACCTGATATCGCTCAATACAACTCATATTTCTATATCGATTTTCTATTGGAATTATTACTAATTTTGTTGCAGAATTGGTAGGCGTTCGCGTCGAACAAGAGTTTTTCAGTAGACTGACAAGAGTAAATGATCAAAAACATTGTGCTTGAACCCAAAGGACTTTAAAAAAGAATTCCAAGAGTAAAATAATAATAGAATGCAAGGAATCGAAAATGTGTATATATTCATTGCAGTGCTGTAACTGGTAACGGTAAACGATTGATTCAACAGACGATTCCTAACGGTTTGTTAGAAGCAAAGTTTTCTTTATCGATCCGGTCTGGATTTTGTGAAGCGCGATCTGAAAGGACCGTTGCAATGTATAGGAATAGAAATTTGCACCCTACAGCACGGAGCGTGACAGAAGGACTCCAGAGACCATCGTAGATCGTAATAAATGTTGAGATAGGGTTGCAGAGAGTATATCAATATATGTTTTATGACAGATAGTTAAGATGATTTTTTTTCATTTATTCTTTTACGTATTTTTTTTTGTCTCACTACTGTTAAATCATCAATTTCCCAAAAATAAAACATACAGGATTTGCACATAATTTAATATTTTGTTCACCGATAGAAGTAAGTAATGGACCAGAACCTAATGTTATTGTTGATGATGAATTGATTGAATCTGAATTTTTAAGACCACTTCATAATGCACCTATTAAATGACTGGATGAAGATGTTGTAGGATTTAATGTTGCAAATGATAATTGATCGTCATCATCATCATCATTATCAACTCTCAATTAAATAATAGATTTTAACAAAGCAAAAACAAAGAAAATAATAACTAACCGAGCTGTTGTTGCAGAGGTTGGATTCCAAGCTGATGCATCACCATGAGTATGTGAAATCATTGAACCATTAGGATGAAATGTTTAAACAACGATTAAAGATAGTGTTATTTAAATTAGATCAAATCAAGCCGTATTTCCATAAAGACGTGTTGGTGATTCAACATGGATTGGAGTTTGATTTCCAATCATTGATGTATGCGAACTAAAAGTAATATACTCATCCAAGTCTCAACCAAGCCGCTAGGCCTGTCTAGGTTTTTGGGTGTGGGTGTGGACGGACAGGATATAAACACCCACACCCCACCCATAATTCGGAGATGCAGAAGGACCAGCATGTTGATTGAAGTTTGAATACACAGGAGAGTCACCGTATGCATTATAATTCGAAAGAGTAGGTGAATTATAGTTTTGAGGCGCAGAAAGACTTCCGTACGGATTGAAGTTTGCGGGATTTGAAGGGCTTCTACATGAGCTCTAGCTTGAAGAGCCTGGATGGCCACTGTATGGGTTATCATTTGAAGAAGGAACTGGTTGTCGATACGATGGAAAATTTGGCGGATCAGCAGATCTAATACCGACACTTCCGTCATGGTTGAGACTGGGAGTCTCATATAAACGCCTGGATTACCGAAGTTCCCGCCTTGGTTTTCGTCTGGATAAATACCTCTATGACCATAAACTATCTAAAATGCAATAAGAGTGATGAATTGTATGCATTGTACCTGAGATCTGTACACATATGTGAGAATGAATTTTGTTGTCAATCTTTCAACATTGTTTTTCACTATCTGATGCTAAGCTGTAATGTTCCTATTCATTTCTACTTCAGTAATCTTCATCAAAAATTTACCACAAAATTTCTTCCTATTTTGTCTTTATTTTGCCATATTTCTAATGTTAGAAGGTGCCTTCAAATACAATGTCTTACTTATCGTTCATTAAAACTCGTACAAATGGTTGCATTAGTTATATGGAAAAATATATTTCTTTTAATAAAAAAAAAAGATTCAAACAACTCTCAATGATCATTATAGAGATGTCTAATATAAACTTACTCATTAATTGAATGTTGAAGTTGATAGAGGAAACAATAGTAAAAATATCAATATAATGTCGGCAAATGACTTTTAGACAGTGACTTCTACTGCCTGTGCTAAATCAACGACGAAATATGTGACGCGTGCAATACCAATGTCTTTCGATTTGATTTTGTTGCTTCAACAGTCTTTCGAAGATTTCTCGCCAGCTCGTGAGTCACTGAATACGTTGTTAATGCAAGATATCAAACATGATTATCACTGTATACCATCAATATAATGTAAAAACTCATTTTTTCAATAAAATGACAGAGGCCAGAGAAAAGCAGAGTATGTAGGCGCTTGCGAACTGAAGATTTGCACTAATATCCATATGCACAAGCAGTTTAATAGAAATGATTAATTCAATGTGCTCAACTTGCTAACTTAGCTTTTTTCATACTTCAAGTTGTTCTGATTTGTATTTGAAAATTTTCATTTCGAACATAATAATCTAGATAATTTCTGCATTGATCGTTCGAAGTCCAATCAATACTATCAAAAATGACATCAAAACTGTCTTTCACACCAGCCACCAGTTGAATGATGACATCATATGAGTTCGTATCATCACTTTTGAATATGTTAAAATTTTCAATTATTGGATGAGGGTGTGGGTGAAATAAGAACGACACCCACAGTCACACCCGCCACTATTTATATATTGATGAGCAATAGGTTGGATATGGTAAAAGCCGAGCACATTAAGGAAAACACTTAATAGAGCTTAGAGAGAGAGAAAGAATCCATGATAAGACAGCAAGGAAAAATGCACAGGATATAATGGAGAAAAACGAGCAGTCATCCTATTCCGCACCCGAAATCACTTCCATCCAATTCCGGGAACTCTATCATCATTCAACATAAGAGACCTACTGGACATTGATCGAGTTCCGTCAATTTCTGGAATTCCGTTCCGGAATTACTTAATTATTTCAGAGATTAATCTTCAACCACAATAGGATACGTGAGGGTGAGGGCGAGAAGTAATTCCTGGGAGTTCCCAGCAATTCCGGAATTGGAAGCAGTTCCCGGGATTCCAATTACTTTCGTTTCAATCAAATTCCCGGAATTCAGAAAATTGCCGCAACTCGATCAATGTTGACTAGGCCTGTGCTGTAGCATGCTGATCGAGTTCCCGGAATCGAAGGAAATTGATTTCGTAATGTGCAACATCGCGGGATAGGATGTATTCTCGAAAAAATACATATGACGTAAAGAGAACAGGAAAATTGCAATACAGAAAAGAACGCACAAAAAAGATGACAACATGAATTTATTACTTTTTAACAAAATACATCTTAATGTGCTTTTATCGAAGCTCTGCGTTCATACGCGACACAGTGTTTTGCACTAGGGCACGTCGCTACGTGTACATGTTCTAGAAAAGTGACCAGACAGCACAATCAATATGCTGATGGAATATTTGGAATCTTGGATTATATCTTGCACACTTCTGACTTATTTGGATCCTGAATTCAAGTTGAATCGATTACTCAAAACTCGTTCATTAAAAAAAAACAACTCTTGAAAATGGAACAATACTATTTGAGTCTAGTTGAGCATTTCTTAACTAGCTGCATTTCAATTGAAATTGATCTTGGATTCTTGTCGATCCACTGGCAATCAGATAAATCTGCTCATACAATTCATCTGAGTTATTTTCTTATAGTAAACAAGAGAGGAATGAGTAAATAGCTGATAATGCAAGACCGATCTCTACATGCCAACACATTTTAATTCTATTTCTTGTGCAATATTTCGTTCTGCTACTTTGATTCTCTCTGTTCTATCCTTTGATTGGTCAAATCATTTGATTCGCACTGAACAAGATTTACTAAACATGAGAAAAAAGCTTTGTAGCATAGCCCCTTTGGAACTGAAATGTGGAACTCACATAATTTCTTTAGTCTGATTATTCTAATACATAATATGGTTAGTGAAAAAACTGTCGCACATTATACTTGTTTTCCATGATAACCGATCGACATAAAGATAATCTGTCTTATTTATTGCTGCATTTCGAACAAAATTTTATTCTTTTTACTAATGCCCTATTATTGTTTATATTTTTGCTATTCGCTCATTATTTTAATTTTTTCTAATCCTTTTTTCTTAATTTAACTGTATTTGTCATTCTAATCATTGATTAATGTGATAAATAAGCCTGTTGTACAACATATATATATATTATGTTTATAGCAAGTGTCAATGGACTATTCTATATCTTGTTCAATTCAGAAACACTGACATTGATTATTTTTAAAGTAACAACTTGGTCATTTCATACTGTTTATGATGATCATATTAAGTAAGACTGGCAAATCAATCAGTCACTATCCATCATTTCTGACATATTGAATACAAATTTTTCTTTGCTGAAAAATTAGAAACTGCACTATTACAAACATTGACAAAAGTATTCTAGCTATTCGAATTTCGGCAAAAGGCTTCCAATGTTTTAGATCAGTCGAAGTCTTGTTGTTCATGCCATAGTGCTTTTTTCGTTGTTACTGAACTCATGACAAGGAGTCTGAAGCAACTTGTATGCTGCTGCTGATATCTATAATGGGAACGGGGAAAGGAGGTTATTGCCATGGGCTGTAATGGGGAGGGGAGAGGAAGGTATCGGAAAACTTCGACTTAAAACTTACACTCACTAATTTCTTCGAAAATATTTGTGAGTTATACAAAACAAAGACATGAAGTTGATGAATTCTTGACAAGATCAATGGTAGAAAAGACTTCGATGTTTTTCTACAGAGTGTCAAGATGGAATCGCTCGATAACGGTTTCATGCCGAATGGCACGTCAATCAATTCTTTTCTCACATCTCTCTGTGTCACTGGCAAGAAGGATCAGACATCACATAATTCCTTGTTGACATAATGCATGCAATCGAGAATAAAATCTTGAATCATTGTTTTGAAAACGAAGAATAACACAAATTTCGATAAAAATGATGACAAAGACAAGGCTACTGTCTTCTTTCAGCATTATTGATCAATAACTGTACATAGAATTTGAAGTTTGAAGAATTGCGCGAGAATTTTCCAACTTCGCTTGCTAAGACACTAGGATTGATAGAAGAATTTGTTTTTTTGTAGACTCATTGAAATTCTTTTCATTACGCTAAAGGTACTATTTTCATTGGATGCTTTAACATGGCCATTCCTTAGCATTGCACCTATAAACAGGCAAAAAATGGTTTGGCATAACTTTCTCTTTGTATTATTTAACAGTCTAGGTACCATAACCGTTGGTGGAAAAATACTCACAAAAGCAAGACTGAGCTAATGTGTCATAGAGAAACTATCACCACTTGCATCCATTATATTTGTAGCAGGAAAAGTGAACAAAAAAAAAAGCAGTGTTGAATGAGTCAGATACAACAGAATATCAATCATCATCTACATTAATATAGATAAAAATAAATTGGGGGAACTTTCCAACTGCTAGCAGCCGAGTAGCAAGCTTATATGATTTCCTCTCAATTTTTCATCAGAGCAGTACTATATACCGTACTATGTTAACGAAAGATTGATTTAGCAGATCAATACTGAATTTGAATCTTTGTTTTCAAAACGACAACTATTTTTATAGATGAACGAACTAGAAAAAAACCTAAGCACACTTGCCAGAAGACATGATGAGATGGAAATTACCTATACTTTAGTAGTGAGCGAAAGTGGTTACCACTCCCTCATTTTTCTCTATATTACTTTGCATGGTATCAAACAAAAAGCCAATTAAAGGAAGAAAATGAATGTTACATTTTAATATAATATCTGGTCGATCACAATTTAATTGAATCATATGCTGAATGTCTTTTATTACTATTGATCAATAATGAAACAAAATCAGTTGATAGAGTTCTACATAATTCAATTCAATTTTTATTGATCAGATATTATATTACAACGTAACATTCATTTAATTCCTATAGCTGCTCATTTATTTGATGCCATGTACAGTAATTTCGTTAAAAAAAGAGGAGACGAGAAAGACTTTTGCCTACTATTGTATATCAAGAGAAGAGAAGAAAAGATATATATGTATGTTGTACGTGTCATCTATGTACGATAGCAGAACAGAAGAAAGGGAAAGGAAAAGGCAAAGGGGAAAACACCATATATAACTGAGTCATACTATAACATATTAACCCAATTTTTTTTCTATGAGTTTTTTCTTACCCATGGGAATGTTACCTAAAGTGTTTAAATGACATGAAGAAAATATTTTCTGTTATGGTCGTATAAATATATATATGGGCAAGTGGCACAAAAAACAAGCACAACATATCAAGGTTATTTTTGACTGCAATTCAACAAATGAGTTTCATTGTTCAACTAGCAATATTGTACATCATTGGTGGTAAGTATCATTCAGATTTCTCTTATTCATACTCAATATTATTTTGCATTTGTTCGCAGCTGTAATAGCATCTGGAATAACTATCGAATTTCATAATGGTCTTGGCTTTCCGATTCAATTAATTGTGACACAAAATCACGTCGCACCTCGACAAATAGCTACAATTCCAACAGGGTAATTTTTACTGGAAACTATGCATCAAATAATCTACTCTATTTGTCTTTTCTCGTTTCCTAGGCGACATTTTTCATACTATTGCCCGCAAGGATTTGCCGGGAATTTTAAACACGGTTGGGCTGGTAAAGGTATAACACTATTCGAAATATCAGTTCGAACACATGATGCGAACACTTATTATGATTTGAGTGTCATCGATGGTTTCAATGTACCGATGAAAGTTTATGCTCCAGATGGGTAAGAAAACTACAAATATAAGTTTGTTGGTAATTTGATTTATTTATTTCAGAACAAGAATTCAAGCTTTACATTCACGAGCACCAGATGCTTATCTGTATCCGACAGACGATAGCAAAACACATGGCTTACGCCAAGATGGAAAATTCGTGGTTGTCTTTGAATGGTAAATGATCGGAGAAATTTTTTTCCAAATAAAAATCAATATTTTGGTCTTTGATAATGGCAGGATCACATGTTTTGATTAATATTTGATGAGTTCTCTTTTTATGTATTTCGAGTGATTTGTTCATCACTCTATAATAAAAATTGCACATATTTAACTTCGAATGCCGTAAATCATTTCCGATTATACACGATATTATTTGTTAGCATTGGGTGCCTACTTTGTCGTACAAAAATCAAAGAGATTCTTGTTTTTATAAGAAGGTTGAATTGATATTTGACATTATTTTATTCTCTTCTTCTATTTTTATTTTTATTTTATTTTTAATTTAATTTAATTTAATTTAATTTGGTACTCATTATTTATTTAAACTACAAATTTATCACGTTTCGTATTTCGATGAGATACTTCATCAGACATTTAAATTAAGACAAATGACATGTTAACATGGTATTTATTAACATGTCATTTGTCTTAATTTAAATGTCTGATGATGTATCTCATCGAAATACAAAACGTAATAAATTTGTAGTTTAAATAAATAATTAGTATCAAATTAAATTAAATTAAAAAAGTAAAATAATGCCAAATATCAAGACAAAGGGATATGATGAAGTTCAGAATAGGTGCAAGGTAAGTAAAAATGTTCTTCCAAGGAGTAACACTGTGATTTCAAACAACATCAACAATAAATTTTATAGCAAATTGAAGTGCGTCGAAAGTACCATTTATTAATGCTAAATAGTAAGGATTATGGTAACTTTCTAGTGTCGAATTTAAAAAATTTCTAAAATTTTACGCCATATCTGCAGAGAAAAATTCCTTTCATGAGACAGTTCGAACTATATCTCACATCAAATGATGAATATCAAAAGGTAATATTTAATTTTTAGTATTTGATAAATATAACCAATAACAAGTGCGACGACCATTAATTTTTTTACAGCCCGAGCATGAGACGGATACGAACATGAAATAATTTGATATAGGTCAGTGTTTGTTCCCATGTTTGTCAAAACAAATGAAATATGCTTCTTTCGAGTTTCTTCACCGTAACGATTGTGTTCTGTCTCTCATAGCAGTTTTACTCAGCTTCATTTTTTGAGTATTTTTTCAATATCTTCAGGTCAGAAATCCAATACGCTGTGATATTCATCATTTTCAATAAGGTCTACTTTGCACTTCCTCATGAAAGAAGTTTTTCTCTACTGATATGGCGTAAAATTTTAGGAGTTCCCTGAATTCGACCCTTAAAATTTGCGGCCATCTTTACTATTTAGCACTAATAAATCCGATTTTCGATGCATTTTAATTTGGTATTAACTTTATTGTTGCTGTTATTTGAAATTATAGTGTTACGCCCTGGAAAAACATTTTTACCCACTCTGCATATCATATACTTATTTTGGAAAGTCATATAGTAATATTCCTAAGCAGGATGATTGTACCTACTGGGATATGTAGCCTTTAGTAGCTTTGAAAAAGGATTCCAGCGATAAAAAATTTTAATATTACATTTTTTGGTCAAATCACCGTAGTACATCCCCGGGCAAAAGCCCCCCCCCCCCCCCCCCCCCAGTTGGATTTCAACCGTCATAGGGCGCTAGAGTTCAAAAAATATGGATGCACATAATCCACCACGAATGTAGATCTATCTATTTTCGAGGTAAGACTGAAGGAAGCTTCTGTTCAATTTTCTTTCGTTCCGTAAAATTATTTGATATTTTCTTCTCCTTTTTTTCTCTTTAATATATTCATTACCATGTTCACGAGGATGTTGGTGTGCGTGTGAATGAGCTGAAGACAAATTCTACACCAACACTCCTCATAATAAATCTCGAACGAAAGTTGATGAAAAAGCTAAGACAGCAGGGCGTTCTGCGATACAAACGGTTTGTAGATGATACACTGGTCATAATAAAGAAGAATGCAAACTCGGATAACATACTGAATATTTTTAATAGCTATCATCAGGACATTCAGTTTACATCAGTCACAGAAGCAAATCAACAAATTACATTCCTTGACGTATTAGTAAAACGAAAAGCCCAATCGATTATAACAGTAGTGCACAGGAAACCAACATGCACTGGTCTGTTGACGAAGTGGACATCGTTTGTCCCAAGGCAATATAAAGTTTCAGCAATTAGTATTTTAGTATATCGTTCAATACACATTTGCTCAACGTGCCTACTCATGCATGAGGAATTCGATTTCATCCATAGGATCTCTCAAGAGAATGGGTATCACCCGGAGTTCATTGAAAATCAAATAAGACAAAGTTTAAGTTGGTATATTCGGAAGCAGAAAGAGATCTCAATGCAAGATGATGGTCAAGGTGAAGGTAAAAATCAAAAACAAGAATAAAATCAAAACAATGCCTATAAGAGAGAATGAATATTAATTGATGTTCCTTGTGTGGGAAAACTTACTCGAAAATTCATTCAGGATATCAAGGGCATAGCTCAACAATTGAAGTCTACAGCAAAAATAATAGCGATTTCTAAATCACCAAAGGCGGTCTGTCAATTCTTCCCGAATAAAGATCTAAATACAGAAGATATGCAATTTAATATAGTATACCAGTTGCACTGTTCTTCTTGTTCAGCTACATATATTGGAGAAACTACCAAGCAAATGTATAGACGGCTGAAAGAGCAGGGTGCTCGCCGCAGCCATTAGTACCGACTCCTGAAGAGGAGATTCGATGCTCACCTCGCATCGGCGAAAAAATAAAAACAAGAACATCTCACATTACTCTATACTCACCAAAGGCAGATATCCATACCGGTTATCTGTAAGGAAATCCCTAGTTATAGATGAGTTTCAACCATCTCTTAATGTCACGACACGTTCAGTCCCACTTCTGATTTACCATGAAGGCAGTCCAAGGAAACAGAACAACATGAAAAAAGAATTGAAAAAAAACAAAAAGTGACAATAATTAAAACCTTCCATATCGTTCTACTGTCTTCTAGCTTACTACAATGTAATACCTCTCTCTTTTTCCTCTTTCTTAAGTTCCTTCTTCTTTATTATTACTATATCTAATCTTATTTATACAATTCCCAAACATATTGATTTCTAAGATATCTAGATACAAATCTCATATTATAGTTAAATCTCAGTGTCCTTTATCTCGTCATTTTCATTATTATATTCTTACATTTTTCATATTATCATACTAAAATTTTTGTGTTTTTATTATAGATTATATCTTTTAAATGATAATAATCTTTTTATTGCTACTGTAAAATTAATTCAATTCTGTTTCAAATTGTTGTCCATCAATTCCAATAATTGTTTACCTTTTATTTCAAGACTCATCTGTCACATTCTTTCAAAAGTAACACATGAAAATTCATCGAAAGACAATGTTGTACTTTCATATTTTGATTGGTTAATTCGTACATTTTGAAATTTATCTGACTGAAGATTTCTCTTTCGCATATATATGAATTCAACAATTTATCATTTTTCTTCAAAATATATTGTTGGTCTGTGTATTGAAATTTATACTTTTGCTTTATTTCCTTATGCATTATTAATCATTGTATAACAACATAATGAGAAAAAAGAACAAACTTACACGATTTCCAATCAAATCAAGAATATTCTGTATTTTCCAGTAATACAAACTAAATCAATGGGAATAAGTCATCGAACGTTGTTTTGTTTTCTAATCTAATTACGATCGACCATCAATATCAGAAATCTTATGAACGTAACTAAGATTTTTGTGTTTATTCATTTGAAACTTATCGTCGATATTTTACCAATCAGAAAGAAAACTGAAATTCCTCTATATTATTCTGAGTTAGATGTAAGCTAGACAGTTAATGTTCGATTGTTCATTAATGTCAAAATCTTCTCTTTTCCGAGTTTTTATTCTCTTTTCGTATATTTTGAATAGAAAAATGACTATGTTTCTTACAAATATGTTATAGTCCTTTCCATTATTCATAGGCTTATCATGAAAGTACGTATGTATTCAAACAATTGATGGACAAGGACGAACATATGAATTCGATGCAGGACGCTAACCATATGCCCAATATGTAAAAAATAAGTTGAGCCGATAACATGTACAATCAATAATTTTCGGAGAAGATATGAGAGTTAAAAAATGAATGTACAAGATAGTGATTGTTTTGATCCACAAATAAAATAAAAAATAATAAAAAATTCTTCTACTATTTGACTTAACATCATTCATTCATTTTTTAATGTTTCTAGTGTTTTGAAAAAGTAAAACAAGAGCTATCGTTTTTAAATAAACCAGTCATTTAGACACTGATTTTCATTTTTCTGAGGATAGCTTGCTTATTCTTCTCGCAGTATGTTTCTCTTCACAATTATTATTACCTACAATACATGATGATTTACTCTCTAATTTAAATCAAGGGCTATTATTATAACAGCTGTTTCATTGTCTTAAAAATTACTTAATACTCAGAACGGTAAATTATTTGAAATCGAAATAGATAGCAGTCAGATTTTTTTGTTTTTTTGTTTAATATTTGGAAGTAGAGAGAGTTGATAACAATTCACAGGAATACGAATTTTACTTTTCGAAAAGTTTTCATATCATTTATATCTGTAATTTGAAAAATATGTCATCATCAAGAATATCGTCTCTAGACACCCATTTGGTTCATCGACTGTTTTATAAGGAAGTCTGAGTCGTAAGATGGTGGGTGGGCTGTGGGACTGGTAACACTCCCCTCACACCTGTAGCCATATTCGTGAAAATCATCTAATCGAATATAAATAGATGATTACGATTTTCATGTTCGACTTAATCGTGTAGGGTGCAGGTTTCAAAATTTGAACCTACGCGGGACTTTAGTACCAATATTGTTGTATATGGTGTCACATATTTTTCTCGTTTAAATTTTATTATTAACAAGAAAACAGATTAACATGATTTTATTTAATCTTTTGTTTTTAACTTCGTCAAATAAAAATTAAAAAAGCCTACGAATAAAAACAAAAAAACGAATGNTCATTAATATTGAACTTACTGAAAAACGTGATAATTTAATTGCGACTATTGGACCGGGTGCAATCATGGCTACGTTTATGCCCACCGAAGATGAATGTCAACGTGTTACTAAGTTTAGTAGCGAAACAAATGAATTTATCTTCGTTGTAGACTGTAGTGGATCCATGCAAGAACGAGAAAGTATTTTTCCTTTTATTAGCTAACTAAAACAAAGAGTGTGGGTGCGGATGGGTGCAAGTGTGGTTTGGGTTCTATGGAATTTCGACAAAAAGAATTTCGCCATCTGAATTTGGATAACGTTGTCGAGTTTCTACGATTGCTGAAATTCGTATGAAATTACGACATATTCTTTTTTACTGGGATTTTATTGTCGATTTTCCATCAGAATTGGGACAACGTATATGATTCATGTTTTTTTTTAATTGTGCACTTTCCACCGACAATACAACAATACACTTATCAACTACATTTAGGGTGTGAGTGTGGGCATGGTTGTCTTTAGCTGAAGCTACACACACCCCACACTCACACCTACATCCAAATTTGATAGCCAAGATTTCTTAAGAATTTCATAACTGATGGAAATTTGACCCTATTCTGAAAGTCTCCGTCAAATTTCAACATCACGAAAATTCCAGTTTCCAGATGTATTTCTACACTGTAATCTTTACGTATCTAATGACTCATATTTTTCGTGTTCTGTTATTTTCTCAATCAGAAGATTAACTCGCGCAAGACATTCCACTAATAAATGGAGCGAGAAAAATTTTTTAAAAGCATGTATTTCCTATGCTTCATATTTTAAACGCTATTGTTTTATAAATATCATCAACAACTATGTTACGAGCTGTATATCGAAATAGTCAAGCAATACAAGTCATTCCTCTCAAGAATGTGAACATTCATAGTACAATTCGTTCATTTGCAGCTGATGTAAGAGTTACACAAATATTTCGCAACGATGAAACAACGCCGATTGAAGCTGTTTACTGTTTTCCTATTGAAGAACAAGCTGCAATTTATGCATTTGTCGCTCGCATTGACAATCGAGAAATTGTCGCTGAATTAAAAGAAAAGAAAGCAGCACAAAAAGGATTATACCGAAGCATTAGAACAAGGACATGGAGCATATCTTATGGAACAAGATGAAAAATCACAAGATAATTTCATTATCAATGTTGGTGCGTTACCACCATCGAAAGAATGTACAATTACGGTCTCTTATATGACTGAATTAGATCTTATACAAGGTTCTATCATTCGGTTCGTGGTACCAACAACAATTGCACCTCGTTACAATCCTGAAAGAAGTGGAATAGCATCCCCAACGGGTACCAATGCGCAATATGTGCAAAAAAGTCCGTATACGATTGCATTTTGTTGTCAAGTAGAAAATTTGGGAGGTAGACAAATTGCACATATTAATTCATCATCACATCCAATTGAAATCGATCTTGCACAAGGAGATCGTTATACAGTGAAATTTGCTCAGCAAAATACTCATTTAGATCATGATATTCTCATTAATATTGAACTTACTGAAAAACGTGATAATTTAATTGCGACTATTGGACCGGGTGCAATCATGGCTACGTTTATGCCCACCGAAGATGAATGTCAACGTGTTACTAAGTTTAGTAGCGAAACAAATGAATTTATCTTCGTTGTAGACTGTAGTGGATCCATGCGTGACGAGAATAAGATTGGACTCGCTCGACAAGCGATTTTACTCTTTCTTAAAAGTTTGCCAATGAATTGTTATTTCAATATTATTCGTTTTGGATCAAGTTATGAGGCTTTTTTCAATGAAGTTTCTGTGCTTTACAATGAAGACAATGCTCGAAAAGCTGAAGCACTTGTGAACACTATGCAAGCAGATTTAGGTGGTACTGAACTAGTAAGTAGTTCACACATATATCTTTAGATATATTCTACAATAAATGTTTTATTTCAGTTAGAACCTCTCAAATGGTTGGAACAACATTCACCAATACAAGGACGTTCTCGTCAGGTCTTTCGTCTTACTGATGGCGAAATATCCAATGTAACCGAAGTGCTCGATCTATGCCGTTCGATGGCTTTATCAACACGTATTTTCTCATTTGGTTTGGGTCAATCACCTAGCCGCTCGTAAGTCAAAGGTGTTGCTCGATCAACAAATGGTCGATTTGTTTTTATTCCTCCAAACACAACTGTCGATGTTCACGTTGAGGAACAGCTACAAAAAGCTCTTCAACGATGTATCACTAATGTAAAAGTAAAATGGAATCTCAGTACATCAGTTGTAGAAACGGTACCAAATCGATTACCGCCCGTTTATGCTAAAGATCGTTTAATTGTCTATGGTCTCTTCGATGACAAGTTGTATCCATTTGATCATAATTCATCAGTTGAACTTCACGTTGATCAACACCAACTGAGCATTGCAAGAATCCGTCAAATACCTAGTATAAGTGAAAATGGAACTATTGCGCGTCTTGCAACGAAAGCACTCATTTTGAAATTACAATACGCTAAACTGCCTGCTAAAACAACGACAGTTGGTAGTCTGCAATCTCGTTTTCAAGGAAACGTAGAAGAATCAAATGATTCGAAAATATCAGAATTAAAAGAAATCGAAAAGAAACGACTTATTGAATTATCAGTAAAATACAAGATTTTGAGTCCACATACGGCTTTTATCGGAATTGAAAAACGAATTAATGAGGACAATACTAAGATGCTTCTTCGAGAAATACCAATTCAAATATCGGCTGATGATCAGCATCTACAACCGAGAACACATATTCGATCCAAAGCAGCTATGTATTGTGGTAACCATCCTATGAGTTGCGCCACATATGGCTCTAATTCTGGTTATCGTGGCGGTAGAGGGCTTGGTCTCGATGACATTGATAAGTGGTGTGCGAACCAAATGAGACGAGCATATGCTCTAGAGTCGTTCAGTAATATCTCATTTGAACGTGAATGCCCAAGCAGTTCATCAAGCAGAAGAAGAAGATCAAGATCGAGGTCGAGGTCGCGCTCACAACAGAATCGGGCAGTGCGTCTTCTGAGTCGCTTTGACAGAGAAAGAGAAGCTGAATTCGAGCCCAGTTCATCAGAATGGCCATTAAATGATCAGGATATCGTTCGTCATTTGATCGATAAGCAACATTTCAGTGGTCTTTGGGACTTGGATACAAAATCCATTCGACATTTAACTGGCAGATCTCTAGCAGATTTTCAATTGATCTATAACGATGTACCAGTACTCATATCGGCTATCGTTCTAATTATACTTGAGACTCGTTTTGGTGCATTTTTATCTATGTGGCATGGTATTTCACAAAAGACTCGTACGGTTATCATCGAAAAATTAGGCAAAGATCCGAAAAATCTCGAGGCTTTACTTGAAAGTATTCGGAAACAACTGTAAATTAAACATTCTACTAAGACATCAAATTAATAATGATTTTTTTCTAGAATCTAATAAAATTATTCGAAATCACACTTAGTTTTCATACCATGTCAATGGCTAAGAGCATGCTTTTTTATGTAATTGCTCGTTTCAAATAAATTACATTCTATTCACGAGCACATGATTTGCACTTGTAGCTTTGAGGCAGGGGATGAGCTTGAAGTATAGCTGCTTTGGATCATATTTAGCATTGTTTAAACTCGATGTTTATTTTGTATTAGAAGGGATCTTTTACATGAAGTGACATACGCTCTTGAAATCATCATCAACCTTTCGATATTCCTTCTTTTACCGAACTTTTTATTCATTGACTGAGATGGCTTCTCTGCACTATTTTCCTTAAAGTGTAGAGAAAAATATTTTGATCAACACATAATTATATGTAACGATTGAATTTTCTAAATATTACTCATGTATAATCTTCATATTTACTTATTTGAGAAAAGACAGTAGTTTGAAAAAATACCACATCAAAGGAGATGAAAATGTGACGACAAATGAAATCATTCATCTGAAGAAGAGAAAAAAATAATAGAAATTAGACTTGAGAAATATTAGCCATGAAATATAGCACCGTGCGACTACATCAGGTAGAGTAAAATTCTGAGAGATGTGGGTAGCTACAGAGAAGATACAAATACAAGCAAGTTAATAATGAGTAAATAATGAAGAACGAAAATAACTATACGATAAATATGAAAAAAAGATTTTACTTCGATTAATGTGGGTGTGGGCGTGGGTGTGGGTGTGGATGTGGGGTGTGGGTGTGGGTTGCTCTTCTTCAATTACTCACCCCACACTCACACCCAACACACCCAGCAGCCACACACCCACACCCACACCCACACCCACACCCACACCCACACCCTAGTAGTTAGTTGATGATAATGTGAAGCTTCGTATAACAAGAACTATAAATAAGGAAATAGAATTGAGTCAAGAGATACAATAGTGTTGCATAGTGTTACGTACAAGTCTAACGTGTGTTTTGCTGTGTACACATTATTNGGTTTCATTTAATTTGTATGTTTCTGGGCTTATATAGATTTTTGACGGGGGGGGGGCTTAATTATACGTTTAACAAGATAAAGCATTAACATAACAGTCTACTTCCATTTATGTATTTCTGAATATGCCTATTCTCGATTTTTTCCCTTTTTGATCATGTGTCATTAAACATTCGTATTGTATATTTTTCGAAATTTTTCACTCTCACGTTTGTAATATTTTCACTGTCAAATGTAGAATAATATTTTGTAAAATGCCTCCTAAAAATAGATTCTTTTAGATAATATTTTTAATTTATTTGATTTTCTTAGTCAATACCTTAAGTATTTTTTATTTTAATTGGTCAAGTAAAAATACTCGTTGTTTTTTTCCTCGTTTTTTAATCTTTCTCGTTCATTTTTATACATTATTATACAACTAAAAAATCAGTTTTTTTTCTTTCTTTCAACGTGATGCTATACACGCGCTGTGTACTTACATAATCCATACGACATGTGCAAATCATTATGGTTATTTTATACTTGATGACAGAAGAAAAACTTCTTATTGAATTTTTAGATAAAATGACCTTTGGCTTGTCAAGTCTTATTTTTAGATCATTTTCTTCTTCTTTTCGTGTTATGCCTTCAGCTGTACCGATTCAAACTCCAAATGCAGCACAAAATCTTGATAAAAATGAACTCTATTTAATTGGTCCTAATTTTTGGAATGTTCGTGGTCGTTTCAAAATATTAAAACTTATTGACGTTGGAACACAAATGATAATAATAAAATTACGAAGCGAAAAATGTCTTGTTACTGATACGGTTGAAATGAATGATTGTCTTTGACAAGAATATTGATCATTTAACAAATAATGGTGAAAATATTGAAGCTGTTATAGGTACACATCCATTTCATACATTATCATTTCTATCTTTTTATCAAACATATCTAAAAGCAGCTTATTATGGAACACAAAGACATTTGTGTCGATTGACAGAAATTTTATGGAAAGAAGATCTGAATGATTGTAATGTGAGAAAAAATGGGAACCAGATGTTTAAATGCTATTCCAGCAGGTTTTTCTTTAAAAAAAAAATGTTATTTTTCAAATAAAATAAGTTATCATTGAAATCATAATAGCTGAGTTTGTTGATTCTCAACCTAAATCAACAAATCGTTTTATAAGTGTTTTTGTTTATCATTCAACATCTCGTACTCTTCATGTTGATGATACAATAATGTATGCTGAAAAGTCTAGTTTTTTACTTAAATTATTTGGTTATAAAGATGATGCAATGGGATTTCTTCCATCAATTAAAAGTTCTGGTCTTTATCTAACAAGTGATGTACCATATTTATTTCGTGATTGGATGCGTAAATTGCTACACAATTGGCCTTTTGAAAATATTTGTTGTGCATATTTGGGTGTTAAAATGGGTGAAGCACATGCTGATGTTACTACATTACTTAATAATGCTGAACCTTTATTTGCTAAACTTAGTGAGAAAGATCGAAAAAAAAATCCTAGAGACGAAATATCACCTAGTAATCATTCGAATATGAATGTTAGTGGTAATGAATGTGGATCATTATACGTATCTCTGGTTTTTCTGTAATACAAGCTAATTGTATGTGGCTTTTATTTTAATGCCAATCAATATCTAGTTTTGCGTATCTTTGACATTTATATTTGACTCAGAGAAATTGAAGTAGTACTTGTGAAAGAATGTGATAATTAATAAGCACAAATACATGAGATATCTGTTGTCATATACATAGCGAATATGATCAAAATATGATTCAGTCACTGAACGACAATAATACAAGTAAACGATATCGAAAGTTTAGATTCATCCACGAACTATTACCTTTTATACTAATTGAGAGAAGTCTCTCAAGTACTCAGCGTGAATACCGTGACTCAAGATGATCACGATTACGACCATGACTTTGACTGGAAGTTAGTCACAAGTACTGAAATTGCCACATATCTTATGTTTGTATTAACTATATTAGAGGTTTCACAACACAAACAGTTTTATACTTTTTACTTATTTCCATAAGTTATTCATTTTGGGTGTGAGTGTGGGGTGTTGGTTTGACAGGAAGAAGAACATCAGAGGTGCCCACAGCCAACCAAAAAAAGTGTTAATTTGCATGAACTTTAGTAAGAAAAACTCAAACAAATTGACTTTTCTGGAATAAAGTATAAGAGTTTTTTTTTTGTATATTTATATAGGTCTTAAAATAAACTTGATTGCCATCAGATCAACGATAAGTTTATATTTATAAAAATGATAATCGTCATTTCAAAGTAAAATGATAGATTACTAAGGAAATGATTTCATAGTGATGAAAGTTTTTTCTTATTAACGTTTTATACTTTCAAGATACATTTGAGTTTTCTTCTATTTTTATTTCTTTCACTTTCATCTGCTCAACCAATATTCTGTCGGGTCTACTTACTCTAGATCTCGACCATATCCATGAAATTCAATTCAATTTATAACTGTTTCTAAATTTTCGAAAAAAATAATTTGTGACAATCGAAATCTCGGTAATGTCGAAAATTTGGTAGAATTTCAAAATTTTTCCAAAGTTCACTAGATATTTGACAATTTGGACGACAATTGGAAATGTAATATATCTTAGAAACGAAGACGTTGTTTTAGTTAACATGTAGAAATGACTCAATAAACAGGAGTCAATAGGACTAACAAAAGAAGGTAAATGGACGAGACAAACATTTTTAAAAAAAGTAAGAACACAGGAGAGAAAACGTTAATGTTTGATCGAGAAAACAAACAAAAAACGATGGAATGAATCATAAAATCCTAATGTGCGTATGTAAACAACGTAGATCTGCAACAATAATCTAATAGTTCAATGTTATATTAATTGAAATGTAACTGACTCATCGTAATTTCAATTGCTGTATATATTGTTCAATTTTTGGTGGAAACTGGGCAATATTGAATATGTCGAAATTCTGGTTTGTCGATGTATTGCTACACTGAAACATTTACACATCTAATGACTTGCTTTCTTTAACGTTAATAAAAAGAGCTCGAATGACTCATTTGGTCTTATTCTGTTCTTTTTTTCGTTGTAATATTGACTTACGCAATACACTCCGTCAATAAATAGAGAGAGCCAACAACAAAAAGAAAAACAAATCACGCATTTATTATTTTTTATATCGTTAACGTATTTTTTTAAATATCACGAACAACAATGTTACAAACTGTGAATCGAAATAATCAAGTAACACAAGTCGTTCCTCTCAAGAATGTGAATATTCATGGTACGATTCGTTCATTTGCGGCTGATGTGACAATTACACAAGTATTTCGTAACGATGAAGCAACACCGATCGAAGCTGTTTACTGTTTTCCAATCGAAGAACAAGCAGCAATTTATGCATTCGTGGCTCGCATTGATAGTCGAGAAATTGTCGCTGAATTAAAAGAGAAGAAAGCAGCACAACAAGATTATACCAAAGCATTAGAACAAGGTCATGGAGCATATCTTATGGAACAAGATGAGAAATCACAAGATAATTTTATTATCAACGTTGGTGCGTTACCTCCGTCGAAAGAATGTACAATCATAATCTCGTATGTTACCGAACTGGACCTTTTTCAAGATTCCATCATTCGATTCGTAGTACCAACAACAATTGCACCCCGGTATAATCCTGAGAAAGATGGAATAAGATCACCTGCAGGCACGAATGCTCAATACGTGCAAACAAGTCCTTATACGATTGAATTCTGCTGTCAAGTGGAAAACTTGGAAGGTGCACAAATTGCACGCATCAATTCATCATCGCATCCGATTGAAATCGATCTTTCACAACGAGATCGTTACACAGTGAAATTCACCCAGAAAAATACTCATCTAGATCGCGATATTTTAATTAATATCGAACTTGCTGAAAAACGTGATACTTTCATTGCAACCATTGAACCGAATGCAGTCATGGCTACCTTCACACCCACAGAAAATGATTGTCAACGTGTCACCCAATTTGGTAGCGAAACAAATGAATTTATCTTCGTTGTTGACTGTAGCGGATCCATGGATGATGAGAATAAGATTGAACTAGCTCGACAAGCTACGGTACTCTTTCTGAAAAGTTTACCGATGAATTGTTATTTCAACATTATTCGTTTTGGATCGAAATATATGGTCCTATTCAATGAAGTCACTGTAGTTTACAACGAAGACAACGCTCGACAAGCTGAAGACCTTGCCAAGACTATGCAAGCCGATCTAGGTGGTACTGAACTTGTAAGTATATCTTACACTTTTTTTTTCATTTAATATAATCTATAAAATGTTTTATTGTAGTTAGAACCTCTCAAATGGCTTGAGCAACATACACCAACTCAAGGACGATCTCGTCAGATCTTTCTTCTTACTGACGGTGAGATCTCAAATGTTACCGAAGTACTCGACCTGTGTCGTTCGATGGCTTCATCAACGCGAATTTTCTCATTCGGTTTGGGTCAATCGCCTAGTCGTTCGTTAGTCAAAGGTCTTGCTCGATCAACAAATGGTCGATTTGTTTTTATTCCTCCAAATACCACTGTCGATGTTCACGTTGGGGAACAATTGCAGAAAGCTCTTCAACGATGCATAACTAATGTAAAAGTGAAATGGAATCTCGGTACAGCAGTTGTGGAAACTGTACCAAATCAATTACCACCAGTCTATGCTAAAGATCGTTTAATTGTATATGGTCTCTCAGATGACAACTCGATTCCATTCGATCATAATTCATCGGTTGAACTTCAAGTTGGTCAACAACAATTGAGTGTCGCAAGAATCAGTCGAATACCTAGTATAAGTGAGAATGGAATGATTGCACGTCTTGCAGCCAAAGCGCTCATCTTGGAATTGCAGCACGCTAAACTACCTGCTAAAAGAACTACAGTTGGCAGCCAACAATTTCGCTTCCAGGACAATGTAGAAGATTCAAGCAATTCGACAATATCGGAATTAAAAGAAGCTGAAAAGAAACGTATTATTGAATTGTCATTAAAACATAAGATATTAAGTCCGCACACGGCTTTTATCGGTATCGAAAAGCGACTAGATGGAAACAATGCTCATATGGTTCTTCGAGAAGTACCAATTCAAATATCGGCTGATGACCAACATCTCAGACAGACTCTACACAAACTTACCAATGCAGCTAGATCTAGTAGTATCTATCCTCAGACCTCCTCCATATATCGTTCTAGTCTTGGTTATCGTGCCGGTATAGGTCGCGGCCGTGGTGGCGCTGCTGGTTATGATACATGTGAGAGAAGATCACATCGTTCTCAAAGAGAATGTTCAATACGAAAAGCAAGATCAAGATCGCGCTCACCACCAAATCACGAAGACGATTCTTTTAACTGCTCTAATAAGCATACAAGAAATATTTCAACCCAGTCCAACTCATCGCAATGGCCGTCAAATGATCAAGATATCGTTCGTGACTTGATCGATAAGCAAAGCTTTAATGGTCTTTGGTATTTGGATGTTGAATCCATTCGACATTTAACAGGCAAATACTTGGCAGACTTTCAATCGATACATACTGATGTACCAGTACTCATCTCGGCTATTGTACTTATTCTACTTGAGACTCGTTTTGGTGAGTTTGTATCCATGTGGCATGGTGTTGCACAAAAGGCTCGTACAATCATCATTGAAAAGCTTGGCAAAGATCCGAAAAACCTCGAAACTTTACTCGAAGCTATTCGGAAACAACTGTGAACCAAACACTCTACTCGAACATATTCAATTAATGACGTCATTTTTCTAGAGTCTAACAGAATCATTCGAAAAATATTTCATCTAATTTCATAATGATATCAGCAACAAAAGACATGCTTATTCATGCCATTGATTATTTTAAATAAATCATATTCTAGTCAAGAACATATTTTTTGCATTAGTTTTCAGTTAGAGGATGTATTCGAAATATCGTTGCTTTCTATTATATGCAGTTCTTTTAAAATTCAATATTATTCACTGTCGAATATTCTTTCTGCTATGGAACTATTTGTTTACCGACAGAGACGATATCTCTGGATTTGTCTTCTCATAATGAAAATGGAAATATTTCGACTATCAGAAAATAAAATCGTAATTGGCTTTTCTAAATATCATCACATGCAATCTTTAGATTATTCATCTGAGAAAATGATAGAAAACAAACTTGAGAAATATTAACCATTGAATATAGGACTCTACAACTACACTACGCAGATCAAACTTTTAATGAGTGGGCCACACTAAATCATCGCCTCCCTATTTTCTCAATATCTGCAACAGCTTTCATAGTCTCGAACTCATTTGCTTCCAAAAGATTGTGCGTTAAATTATTTACAACATCATGAAGAAGAAAGTGTCATAGATATAGTTATCAAGATCGAATGATGTGGGGGTCAATGTGGGCATGTATATGTGGGTAGCTGTGGTTGCGGTTAAAAATAAAACACATACTAACTCTTATTCATGCGCTCATACTCAAAGAAGCAACTAAATGATGATTTCGCGGTTTGTATATCTTATGGAATGCTAATTACATGTACATAGAAGAACTCATGTTATTATGACTAGTTCGACCGAATCTTCGACTACAAGTGAATTCTGCTATCATTGATGAAAATTGATTCATCAGAAACATAATGAGACCATCGAACGATTTTTAGCTTCCATCAAATAAATACATGTATTCTAACTAAACTGCAGTAAAGTATAAATATAGGCTTTCCGATGTAGGAAGTTTATTTATCATTTTCTTTTTTACAGACGGGAACTAGAAATATATTACAAATATTTTCAAAAGATCTTTTAGAAAAAAATTAACTGTTCATTTAGCTTGTTGTGAGAAAACTAAGAAATGATTTTTCATTGATACTCTATGAACTTTAAGACCATTCCATAGCGTCATCTCTCAATAAGAGGAACAAAATCTAAAAATATCTTTCGTGTCAAAGATTTACCTGTTTTATAAGTACCTACTAAAATAAAATAATGTAAATAACATATTATGCTCATGAATGTCATACAAAATTAGAATTGATAAATTTTCTCTAAATATTCTAATTGATTATCTGTATTATACCAAATCGTGTACATAAGCAGTTCAAAAAGGAGGGAAAAGAAGAAGAAAAAATTGTATTCGTTATATAACGACTTAAATTTCAAATAACTAAGTTTGCATGTCCTAAATTATTTCTTGTAATTTTAGAAAACTTTACTTATCTGTGGTGTAATCAATACAATATCCACGATGTGGTATGATGAAGATTCAGACGAAGATGAACAACAAAATACAGGTTCAATGAGTGGAAAAACAACAGAGAAAAATCCAAATTATGAAAAAAAGGATAAATGCCAATGTACTAAAGGATGTTCAAAACGTTCTTGTTCTTGCTTTAAATATGGTAGTGGATGTAATTCATCATGTGGATGTGGTTCATCTTGTCAAAATATGTTCAATCATCTTGAATATTTTTTCGGTGAAAATCATAAATGTGCTGCCAATCCTTGTTTTTCAAAATGGCTCGTTAAACATGCTAAAAAAGCAGATGGATTTCAAATGATCGATCGTGATAAATTACGGCGACGTATCATGACATGTCCCAGGTAAATAATTCACTTAGTTAATTGCTATGTCTCTCCATTTTTCTACATTAACACTTGTATCATATTTTAATTTTTTTAGCTATTCAAATGTACTTGATGATGAAGATTTCGAAGAATGGACAGAGAAATGGAAAACAATCGATAAAAATGAAAAATTAACTCATACACAAGAATTATTTCGAATGCTTCTATCAAATGATACAACAACATATTATTATTCATTTTGTGAAAATGATGTTTTTGAAGAAGATTGTAATTGGCATTGTATAATATGTCAAAAATGTATGGATTGGAGAGAATGGCATTGTGAAGAATGTAATAAATGTATGTATTTGAGAAAAAAAACTAATGACTTTTACTCGAATATATTAACAATGTGATATTTTTTTCTAGGTACTTATGGTGTCAGCTTGCCATGCGAACGATGTGGAGGAAAAAGTGAAGTTTCTGGCTTCTTTTAGAACATTACATATGATTTATTAGTTGTTTATATGTTGAAATTGTTTTATTTATTTTTTGTTTATGAAAAAAAACATTTTCTTGTCTTCATTATAATCATGTTTCTTATGTTACATTAAAAATTCAACAAGCACATTGTAAATCACAGATGTTAACCCTTTGAGTCCCGGTGGGATATATACATCCACCTAAAGAAAACTTCTAATTTTCAACAAGGGCAAAACATGAGCAAAAACTTCTTTTTTTTTCTTTATTTTGTTACATGGTTAGATAGAGCTCGTTGAGCTGATCACGAATATCACCTTTAAAACATTTGTTGGTCACGTTTTGGATGAAAAAACTTCGAAATATGAAAAATAGCTATGAAAATTATCTATTTCGCACTTTTTTCAAGAAATTTCAAAATTCCGATCAATAATAATACTGATGAGACTTCGAAACTGTGTTATTCAGATTCAGCATCAAAATTTGAGTAGAATTGTATTAATTTAAGAATTTTTCATCATTCTTATCTGTTTCAGTAAGACTGACACGGTCGTCACATGACACCAAAAACGACCAATGGCACGTCATTCTGCCAAACCTATCTAGTCTTTTGTTCTACAACATTTCTCCAACCTTCTCATATCATTCGAACCGTCAAGTGAAGGCGAAAAACGCCTAGCATGGTTTTCGACAAATTTTCTTTTCTCATAGAGAAAAACTGATTTTACTTGAAGCAATGCAGTTAAAAAAATTCATGTTTTTATCATTTGGGTCAAACTTCGTCCAATTTCAATTTCGACATGAACATATAGGTAAAAAATGGTGTAGAATTCAATGGAGCTATTTAGAGACGTCTATCGAATCTCTGAAGATCCTCAAAAAATATTTTCTTATGAACCGGCGGCAGTCTATGTTTCATGTGGTGAAACGAGTGGTGTCAAACGTGTAGAATTTGAAGATCAGGAAAGATAGACCTTATTCATACACATCTCTTGGTTATCTAACGTTGTGGCATGACATATCTAACATTGTGCATCTCCCTTGCGTTCTATCGCATATTTGACAACATTCGTCACGCATTTCATTTCTCTTGCGTTCCGCCACGTGCCATGACAACATATTTTCTTACAAAACGAGCTTGTGTCACACATACAGTAACACTTATAATTATCTGAATATTGAACAGCGCTGCACAAGATGATTTCAAGCGTTTTCTCACTTCTCTTTTCTCCATTAATTGAAAAAAAACTATAAAAATTTAAAAATCAAAAAACAATCTTCAAAAGCCCTGATGGGAACCAAAAAATTAGATTAGTTGCAGTTGACTTCTCCAATATGCATTCGGCTCTACGTGCCGGAGAAGTTAAACATGTCATTCGATTTCTTTTAAGAGTGGCATGGCCAAGAAATGCACGTTTCAGATACTTTTCATAAGAAAATATTTTTCTGAGGATCTTCAGAGATTCCATAGACGCCTCTAAATAGCTCCATTGAATTCTACACCATTTTTTACCTATATGTTCATGTCAAAATCGAAATTTGACGAAGTTTGACCCAAATGATACAAACATGAATTTCCTTAACTGCATTGCTCCCAGTAAAATCAATTTTTCTCTATGAGAAAAGAAAATTTGTCGAAACCCATGCTAGGCGGTTTTCGCCTTCACTTGACGGTTCGAATGATATGAGAAGGTTGGGGAAACGTTGTAGAACAAAAGACTATATAGGTTTGGCAGAATGACGTGTTATTGGTGTCATGTGACGACCGTGTCAGTCTTACTGAAAAAGATATGAATGATGAAAAATTCTTGAATTAATACAGTTCTAGTTCAATTTTGATGCTGAATCCGAATAACATAGTTTCGAAGTCTCATCAGTATTGTTATTGATCGAAATTTTGAAATTTCTTGAAAAAGTGCGAAATAGATCATTTTCATAGATATTTTCGTATTTGGAAGCTTTTTCAGTCAAAAAGTCGCCAAAAAATGTTTTAAAGGTGATATTCGTGATCAGCTCAACAAGCTCTATCTAACTATTTAAAAAAATAAAGAAAAAAAATTTTTTGCTCATGTTTTGCCTTTGGTGCACCTTACCATCAATAGTTTTATTCCTTTTGGAACAATTATCATGAATTAAATGAGCATGAGCAACACTTCACGAATCAAAAATGAGTATTTTAAATAGTCCATCAATGAAAAGAGAAGAGGCGACCTCTATTTGAGATATTTTGATGAAATATTTTTAAGAAGTAAGAAATTTAGGGCTCAAAAATTGAGTCACATCGATTAGATTGACTTTAATCAGGTTTCAAGATTATTTTCAGTTTTTATATATTTTTTCCTTTTTTTCAAATAAAGTTCAACTGCATACAATTGCTTGCTAATAATCTAGTTTAATTAAAAAATTAGCAAGAGTGAAATATCGAGAAAGAATTATTTGGTTCTTGTGAAAAAAAAATGTTGCATAAATTCATCAGAACACATCATAGTGTGGGTAGATATTTATCTACCCTAGTTTATTATGCCATATTATTTTCTCATAAGTTTATATATATATATATAGTTTTGCTGCTTATTAAATGCTCCATCGTACAGCATATAGCATAGAATCATATCTTTCACTTGGAGCAAAAAAAATATGCCAAAACGACCTAAAGTAGGAAAAGTTCATTTTTGAGGCTACTTATATTGTGGAACATATACGAAACTTAGTTTTTTCGGATGTTTTTTTTACCAAATTAAAAGTTCTATTCCTCTCAGTCCGGACAGAATTGGATGGCACATCTTTTGATAATTACATATTTTTATTGTAATGTACTATACTTGTGAGATATTAGGCAAGGTTTTTAAAAAAATACTTTTGGACACTTGAAAATGTACTTTTTAGGAAAATCAGTGTTTCTCTGCGAATACTCGTTCAATCATCGCAAAAATTTCAGAGTATATACAACTTTTGTTCCTCTATCCAACTACGAAAAAATCGGGTCAAAACTTTGTAGTAGAAAATTTTTCGAAATTTCATACTGGCGCAGAGTCTAAAAAGGCATATAACTTGTGAAAGCATAACTCCGTAAAAACAAATCGGCAGGACGAGAAAATTTCAGGTTATACGCAGTTTCATTAGCTGTACAAATTGATCAAAAAAATTTGGTACCCTAGGGGAGGCCCAGTTCCCTCTTAAAAACAACTTTCATCAACGTTTCTCTTATGACTATGAACATTCATTTATCAGTGATGAAAGATTCAACTCTTTTTGTGAAAGTATGGCAGAGATATTCAATTTTTTCTGTGGTCACTGAACTTTTGGGATACCCTATAGTGTGACCTACCGGTGGGCCACATCACTGCGAAATGGTTAATGAATTTAACAATCGAATTCTCGTTGACTGATTCAATTTGAATCGTTTCAAACATGTTCTGCTATATGAGTATATTCATATCAATTTAAAAATCTCTTGCAACACTTTTTATTCAAATAAATAGTTATGAAAAAAAACAGTTTCATTTATATTATCGTTAATATTGCTCAATTTAGGGTTGCACTTTACCTTTTCTTTACTATTAACTACGTAATTACTTTATATAGAATAATAGATCACCTGCTGGAGTCCGAGTTCAACAAACTTTGATTTATATTCTCTTTAATTCTTTCCTTTTGCTCATTTCAGCTAATTTTATCATATCATTTTATCTAATTCAGAGAATGAGACGAATAAAGACATCTTTATTCGATTCGATAAATCGATTCGGTTTTGGTCTCTGTTTCATCCATACCCCCGATCTGTTATTATATCATCTTTTGTACCACACTTATTTTGGATGGATGACAATAAAGAAGATCTTATTCTTCTTCTCCATGTCGAATCGTTCAGCAAGCACAATGGTGTTCGACAAGAATTCTTTGAAAATTTCACTGCCATCTTTCGCGATCAATATGTATCTGTTTGGCAATTAGCTGTACTTTTCGAAAATACTTAAACATATCCAGCATCTTTATCACTGTCTCTCGCAAAATTAATGGTTAAAACAGGTGTTCTCATTGGTCAACTACTTGGTTATAAAACAATATACTTAGGGGTATCCAAAAGTAGTGGCAACGACATTTTAGTACCACTTAGTAAGCTTGATAAAAGTTTCTTTTTACACAGGATGATAGAGAAAAAAATGCTCTTTCTTTCTATGCTATTTGATCATACTTCACATAATATAATGGTAATAAATTTCCAGTAAGATT